CCCTTCGCTCTCCCTTCCCTCACCTTCTTTCTTCTCTTTTTTCCAGTAAGAAACCTGGCTTCCCTTTCCCACAATATATAACCCATATGCTCAGTTGTAGAATACATGTAGCTTTGGAATTGCTAAGCTATACCACTGTGAAAAACAAGCATACTAACTAGAGTACAGCATTTGTTTACACTCATTTTGCCTTTGCTAAGGTTAAAGGTTACGAGGTCAAAATACTATGATCCAAAGTTAATTAGGATATCTCTTCCCTTCCACCCACATGGTTGTATTGTTAACTTGATATACATTAAGGTTCATTTGTTGTTTTTTATTTTGCCTTCTTCTTTTTCTTTTTTCTTGCTCCCTTTCATCTTTGTTGATTTTATTTGTTTGACACTATCTTACATTTGAAGAGCACTTTCTGTTTTACAAAGTGTTTCTTAAATTTGTTTCCTTGAATAGATTTATCTAGGCCATTACCTCTCACTTGGAGCTAATTCACAAGATAAGGAGTGGAGCCAGTAATTTGCATTTCTGTCAAGTTCCAGGGGATGCTGGTGCTACTGGTTTGGGACTAAACTTTGAGAACCACTAATCTATGACTTATTGAAAACAGATTCTTTAGCCCCCAGACCTACCGAATTCTTCATGGAGGGCCTAGGAATCTAGTTTTAACAAGGCTCTAGGTGATTATGATGATAAGACCAGTAGGGACACTAACGTGGTCTTTGAAATTTTGGGGATTGGCAAAGTAGATATTTTGGGTAACATTTGTAGATTTGGGTAAAATTTATATGGATTTAAAGTGACTTATTCATATGATATATTAAACTAATACTGTTTTAAACAATTCCGATGTATTGATTTGTCTACTGTGATTTGCTCTCAGTTTATGTCACAGGAACTTGGGTGGCACCCATTTGATGTTATTCCTCTAGTAACGTAGTGTAGATCATTGCTTAGAGTTTTACTATATTCATAGAAAAATGATTCTGGGAACAAATAATTTGACCAAAGTTCAGCAGACAGAATGTGCTCTCTGTAAACCACTGTGGCTACCAAAAATGAAATTTCAGTACTAAATATTTATATCTAACTTCTGAGTAGAAAAATTGCCCAAGTGATGAAATTTGCAAAGAAGCCAAATGTAGAATTTAAGAAAAAATAATTTTTTTTACTATTTTTACTTTTAAGTAAAGTTTACTCACATATAGAAATAAATACTCACATATTAAATAAATAGTAGCACTGAATTTATGTGTATATTGGCAAGATAAAAGATATTTTGCTGCATAAAAATTTTTCAGGGATTTCAGAAATTATTAAGTTTTGGTTATTTTAAGCCAGTGTATCTCTTTCTTATTTTAAAATTTGATTATAATTTAATTCTTATACATTAAAATTATCAAAATTTAGAATGTTGTTTGATGTTCACAAATACTTAAAACTTCTTTTGGAAGATAAAAGAAATTCTTATGCTGACTTAAGTAACAAGGCTCATGTATTCCAGGTTTCACACAAACTTTGAAAAACTTATGCTTTCATACACATGAGAAATATCTAATGTTTCCCTCAAGGAAAAAGTAATTTAAAATAATTCTCTAATTCTTTAAAGTTCTGATATATAGAAATATTCAGATAATTCAGATTAAAATGATTTTATAGTTGTGGCTACATTCTTTAGGAATCCCCTAAATAAAATGACAACAGTGAAATTTCTCTTGTGATAATAAGATATCTTGAGCATAATGAAACGAGCAGTGAACATGGAAGCATAAGGCTTCAGATGAGTTTCAGGTCTGTTTTGTCTCTGAGCCTCAGTGTCTTACAAAGTAGGTGATATTAGTTCTCTCTAAGGTGGTTTGAAAAATTGAGTTAGATAGTGATCTTCAGGGTGTTTTGTGTCAGTTGTAAATATGCTATATAATGAAATTTGATGATATATTTAATGTGGATTCTTTATTTTTGTGTCCTTTGCCTATCAAGTACCCAGCAGGAAGGAGTACAAAATGTTTTTGGCCAATTGCTGGGATTGAAAAATGTTTCCTTTAAGGGCTAGAAAGCAAATATTAAAAAAAAAATGTTTTTTAAATGAGAGAGAGAGAGACAGAGTGTGAATGGGGAAGGAACAGAGAAAGAGGGAGGCATAGAATCTGAAACAGCCTCCAGGCTTTGAGCTGTCAGCACAGAGCCCAATGTGGTACTGGAACTCACAGACCATGAGGTCATGACCTGAGCCAAAGTTGGACACTTAACTGACTGAGCCACCCAGGTGCCTGCAGATAGCAAATATTTTAGACTTCGTGGGCCATACTATCTCTTTCACAACCTTGTAGACATAGTTAATACATAAAATGAATAAACTTGAGAATGTTTATGGACACTGAAATTTGAATTTTATGCTATTTCCTTGTATCACAGGACATTCTTCCTCTTAGTCTTTTTTTAATCCTTTGAAAATGTAAGAAACGACTCTCAGCTCACAGCTGTACAAAAAACAGGTTTATTTGGCTGGTAGGCTCTAGTTTTTTCACCCCTGTGTAGTCCATTTTGAGAATTAGTTTTAGATTGATTTTTAGAGTTTCATGATGGGATTATCTATTGGAATAGCTTGGGAAATTTCCAAATGGAGATACTTTTTAAAAAAATAATTACTAAAATAAACATATATTACATATAGTCATTATTATGAATATATACTATATATTATATTTTCTTTGTGTATATTGAAATTACAAAGAAATTGAAAATGAGATTAAAAGAACACACAGCACTGGAGTGATAGAGAAATCAGATGGTTTAATCTAGTTGGTGATCAGCCTGATTCTACAAATATCCATTCATTCTTTTTAGGAAAAAATTTGGCATTGGCAAGACCATCTAAAGTAAGATAGCACAACTAACTTTTCTTTTTGTCTTAAAAAAGGAAAATATCACTAGAATTTTCTATCTTTAAGAAGTTTTAGTGAAAACTATATCTTGTTTTCTGTGTAGTTCTATTTTTGCCATAAAATTTGGGAATTCTGCAATCAAAGCATACAAACCTGTAAACATATTTCTGACATAAAATATCACAATTTATTCAACTTGTACCATACCCTTTTGATAAAAGCCTTTATTTTAATATTTGAAAAACACCTAAGAGGCATAGTGTGATGTTTTTTAAAAATGGCATTCGTTGGCTTTGTTTAAAGCTTTAGGTAAAATTGAAAGTGCTGAATCATTCCAACTACAATTCAAAATGGTATCTTTTAGAATATAGCACTTTAAAGTTTTCAAAACTCCTTTTATGTAATCCTTTTGAACACTTACAACAGCCTCGTAAAGGTGGGTGGTGCAGGCATTTTTCTTGGTTTTACTGATTGTGGAAACCACGGCTCACAAAAGAGAACTCCCTGATTATGGCTCATAAAGCAAAGAGAAGGACTTGATTTTAGGTCTCAGTTTAATTTAGTGTGCTTCCCACAATGAGATTATCCCTTACACAGCGCCCAATAGACTCCTTTGCACCTTAAAAGGCCTGTAAATGTTTCTTGATTGATTTCTTTGAGGAGTAAAATAATACTAAAGTCTATCTCAGGAAACTTGAAAATCTATCATAATTCACAGCATTTAATACTAGGGGTATATGTATGAAAGAGTCGGGTCCATTTCTTTCATGTTGTGTTTACATCTGAATTCTGAGGCATGTGCTAGTTAGAGTTTCTAAAGCATTGCTTTTCCCACACTGAATTTAGTACTTCTAGCTTTGACCTCCAAAAGGGCTATACAATGTCTGAAGGCAGTGATCATGTCTAAATATTAATACTCTCTCCTCATTCCCAAGTTTTTTTTAACCCTTTTTTTAAAGTTTATTTTCAGAGACAGAGAGACAGACGAGAGTGAGAGCGGGGAGGGGCAAAGGGAGAAGAGGAGAGAGAGAATCCCCAGCAGGCTCCATACTGCCCATGTGGAGCCCAGTGTGAGACTTGACCCCACGAACCATGTATCATGACCTGAACCAACACCAACGGTCTGATGCTTAACCAACTGAGCTATCCAGGTGCCCCTAAAATTATTGAGTTTTGAGAGCTCTTTGTATCTTTTGAAGATAAATCCTTTATCAGACAGATGGTTGGGAAATGTATTCTCTCAGCCTGCAGCTTGTCTTTTTGTTGTTTCATAGTGTCTTTTCTTTCAAAGAAGAGTTTTCAATCTTGAGAAGAGTCCAGCCTAAGAATTTCTTCTTTTACGGATCGTGCTTTTGGTGTTGCATCTAAGGACAAGTTACCTTATCCAACATCACAAATTTTTGTTCCTATGTTCTCTTCTAGACATTTTATAGCTTTAGATTTTATATTTGAATTGATGACCCATTTTGAATTAATTTTTGAACCTGGTGTGAGTATGGATTGAAATCAGTTTTGTTTTGCATGTAAATATGGCATTGTTCAGTACCCTTTCTTCACAGAAAGGGTTCATGACAGTGTTCATGACAGCTGTGAATGCTGCTTTTGCACCTCTTGTAGAAAGCTGGTTCCACATAGGTCTTGGTGTCCTTTCTGTTCCATGCATCTATTTTTCTCTATATTAATACTCTATTGGCTTGATTATTGTGGTTCCATACCTATAACTTCTTGTTTTATTGTTTTAGTGGTTGCTTTAGGATTTGTAATACTGGTTTTTAACTCATTACAGTATAACTGATGTACCTCCAAGGAATACTATACCACTTCACATATAGTATGAGAACATTACAACTGCATATTTACATTATGTCCCTCACTCCCAATCTTGGAACCAGTGTCATACATTTTACTTCTATCTGTGTCAGCCAGGTGTCCCTGTGCTGATATTATTTCTAATGGTTAACCTGCTTTAACTCTTATCTTTGTATCTCCCTGACATAATGTGTCCTTTTATCCCCCAGATGCCATTTAAGCTGGATGCGCAGAAGTTTTTGTCATACATTTTAAACAAATCCAGTATATGCCACATCTACACTAACATTTAGCTCTTTTTTATTCACACAGGCCTCAAGTGTCAGAAGAGTCACCTCCGGTCCCCCAGAAAGGCAGTTTTCTGACTGTTCAGTGTAACTGCAGTGTTCATGACAGCTGTGAATGCCATGTGCCTGTGCCCACAGCCAAACTCAACCACACTCTTCTTATGTATTTGAAAATCACATCTGGTGGAGTAATTTTTCAATCACCTCTAATATCAGTTCAACCCATAAATGTTGGTAAGTTGTGCATAAAAGAGATAATAGATCTAAAGATCAATCACACAAACAGGTTAAAAATTGCTCAACAAACATTTTTTTCAATAGCTTATCTTGCTTTGACCAGCGCTGTAAGGATGGTAAATGTGGTATGGAGTATTAAGAGTAGCTTCTAGAATGTTTTAACCGCAGTATAAGTATCTTTGCAATTGTTAATTTAAATTCTTACTTAAAAACAGTTTTTCTTTAAATCCTGGATCTTTGCAATGGATATGTATCATTTGGTTATTCTTGTTTTCACTTATCAGATAACAATTTCCAAAGATAATCAGAAGATTGTTTTTTACCTGGATTTATTTCTTCAATAAATATTTCTCAGAGACTCCTGTGTGTCAGCCAGTGATCTAGGAGCTGGGGAAACAATGGTGAATGAGACAAAGTTCCTGCCTCATAGACCAGAGACAATATTAGGCAGAGAGGGAAAATAAAAAAGTAAACAACTAAATAATTTGCTGTACAATCTGATTATAAGAAAAACTCCAATAATAGGTTGTGCCCCAGATTTTTAGTGCAAAGATTCCCAGAGTTTCTTTTGATCCACTTGAACATATAATTACAAATGTGAATAAGATAGGCAAGTATTCACTTAATGTATTCATTAACTCAGTTTTGTGCCTGTATGTATATTATATATAATATGTAATATAACAGTGTTACTGTTTTCTACTTATATTTCTTGAAGCCATCATATACAAACTTCTTACATGCATCATTGCATCATTGGTTTTGACAACACAGGAGCCACTTTTCCAGGCATCTCACACTGTTTTTCACATAGCCTTACCTTCACTTCCTTTTAAGTTACTGAGCATACCACCTGCATATGCAGATTTGCATATGACATATGAATCTGCATATGACATCATATTTTAACATTACGACTTTCAAATAATTTGTCTTTTGGGGATATATTTGTGGTCTCTAAAACATAAATCCAATGACATCTGAGCAATAACATCATGAAATTACACCACAGGAAGAAAATATACATAATATTTATAAAATACCATTATGTTCTCTTTTTAAAGCGATTTCTCTCAGGTGATTTTTAGAAGCACTTGGAGCCACAATTGAATTGCATATTTAAAAAAGTAAAGTAGTTAAGAGAAAGTGCTATGATAGATTTTATAAGAAATTTTAAAAGAATTTTATCTTTTTTCAGTAATGATTTTTTAGAAAAAAAATCTTTCCTTATGCGTGGGCATATATGATAATGTTCCAAAATTTTAAGTTCCATAAAAGACGTAAAGGATGGAGATTGTTAGCTGTAGGGACTATTATTTTAGCTATGGAGGTCAAAGAAGATCTATTTTAGGAGATGGCAGTTGGGCTAAATGAAAAGGAAAGGACTATGCAAAAATCCAGAGCAAAAGGTGCTTCATGCAGGAAAAATAGCACCCATGAAACCTCTGAGATGGAATGAGCTTGGCAGTTGGAGGAACCAAAGAAAAGGCCTCTATGCTTGGAGTGAATGAGGTAGGGGAATATTTGGAGATGTGGTCAGAGAGTTATTGGGTTTAGGTCATATCATAGGCCCGAGTTACAGAGTTGGATTTTATCCTAACTGCACAGAAGCTCTTGAACCAGGAAAGTGATATGGGCAGGTGTGTGTGTCTGTGTACATGTTTAAAATTTACTCTGCATGTAGAGAAGAAGGTTGATGGAAAAAAGAGGAAAGATAGTTGCAAGAGTGGAATCAGAGGGCTCAGAAAGGAGGTTCTTGGAATGATCTAGTTGATGTAGGAACGTAGCAGTGGAGAAGAAAGAAATGGTCATAGTTGAGATTTATTGGGGAGATGGTGCTATCTGAAACGTCTAGTGGATTTCGTGTTGAATATGAAGGAAAGAGAAGAGCCAAGGATAACACTCAGGCTAGAACCAGAGCATGCCAGTGAATAGCGGTACCATGTACTGGGATGGGGAGATTTGGGGAGGATCAGGTATGTGACACATTAAGTTTGAGATGCTTATAGATACCCAAGAGATGCTGAATAGGTATTCGGACATATGATCCTAGAGTTGAAGGTAGAGATATATATGGAGTATTTGGTGTAGAGATGTTTATGGGATTGCATAAGATTAGCCACTTAGAGTTCAGTGAGGAAAAAACTGAGGCAGTCATAGAGAAAAGAAAGTAAAAGAACATAGTGGCCTGGAAGCCATGTAGGAACAGTGAGCAGATATGTGGAATGCCACTGAGAGGTGGAGTGAAATGGATCATACAACTGATACTGGATTTGGAAAAGCGTGGTGACCTTGATAACAGCGGCTTCAGTGCATTGGTGAGGAGGAAGACCTGATCAGAGTAGGTTGGCTAGGAAGACGGGACACCAAGTGGGCAGAGGGAGTAGTGCCAATGTTTTCCAGGAATATTGCTGTGGAAAGAAGCAGGTAGGTGGCGGTATATCTAAGTCTGGGGACATAGGTGGTCCAGGGAAAGATTTATTTTTAGATTTCTAGTATCATGGCATGTATGTATACAGGCAGGAAATGTACAATAGTTTATAATTTTATGATTTCTGTTTGATGTCTTTGTTTTCTTTTTGGTCATGAGAACTGTGAATTTCACCTTTTGATTTTACTTTTATTTTTTTATTTTTTTAATGTTTTGTTTATTTCTGTGAGAGAGAGAGAGAGAGAGAGAGATGCAGCATAAACAGGGACGGTCAGAGAGAGAGGGAGATACAGAATCCGAAGCAGGCTCCAGGCTCTGAGCTATCTGTCAGCACAGAGTCTGACTTGGAGCTTGAACCCACGAACTGTGATATCATGACCTGAGCTGAAGTCAGATGCTTAACCAACTGAGCCACCCATGTGCCCCTCACCTATTGTTTTTAGACTTTAATATTTATCTGTCCTTACTTTAAAGTAACTAAAATTTGTAATATGTCACATAAAGTAAAAACTTCATTAATTTTGACTCAAAGAAAAGAGAAAAAACGATGTCCAAATTCTTAGAAATACAGTATGTTAAAAATAGTAACATGCCATTTTAGTTCTTGAAAATAAAATGCAAATCAGTAAGTGTTTCAATGTAATGATTATTTCTGTGTACGTGAGTAAGTCTGCTAGTTAAAATCTTGGAAACACAGAGATGTATAAAAAGGAGAAATTCATCATGTATTTCCTATCACTTTGGCATTTTTTCTAATTTTAATACATATTTATGAATATTGTTTTGTTAATTTCGACAAATCAGGAACCCAAGTATAGATGTTGTTTAATAAACTTTTTTTAAAGTTTATTTTTACTTATTTTGAGAGGGAGAGAGAGCAAACGGAAGGGGCAGAGAGAGAGGGAGAAAGAATAATAAGCAGGCTCTACACTGTCAGTGTAGAGCCCGATGGCAGGGCTTGACCTCATAAACTGTGAGATCATGACCTGAGCTGAAGTCAAGAGTCAGACACTTAACTGACTGAGCCCCCCAGGCACCCCCAATAAATGTTTAATACTAATAATATTAAACATTTTCAATATTCTTTTCCAATATCATTTTTAATGGCTATATAGAGTCCCTTCTAGGGATAAGCCATTATTTCTTTAATCAAACCTTTATTGTAAGATGTGTATATTCTTTCTACAAATAATTTAAAGGTTATTTGCTTTTAATATTTTTCTTTTTACTATTTATTTGTTTTTGAGAGAGAGAACATACATGCAAGGAGCAGAGAGAGGGGGAGACAGAGGTTCTGAAGCTGTCAGCACGGAGTCTGATGCAGGACTAGAACTCATTAATTGTGAGATCATGACCTGAGCTGAAGTCATAGTTAACTGAGTGAGCCATCCAGGTGCCTCAAGGTTATGTGTGTTTAAAATTACACACACACACAAACACACACATACACACACACACAATCTATACACAAATGCATATTCATATATAAACACATCAACTCAATATGAACTCATTATGAACTCATGAACTCAAATCATTTACCAAGTTAAATACATTGTTAGGCTATTTCTGGTGACAAGTCAGGGCCTGCTAATGCTATGCTTATTGCATGCTGTATGTTATTTACATAGGTGCATCTAGATTATTGTATTTCAGAGTTAATAGATTTGCTGAATTTTGCATGCATATTTGTGTGAAGTTTTGCATGCAAACTCTGTATGCATTTTCCAAGTAGTTCTCTGCAAAATGCTGTTTTTTTTTGTCACCCACTGTTTTAGTGGTTGGGAGTGTGGTAGGGAGTAGCTTCAAAGAAGTTTGGGGAATGCCAGTTTAAATAAAGTTAACAGACTTTTTAACAGCAGGAATTCACAGTTATCAAAACAATCTCATTTGCTGATTTACAGTTTTTGCCATTTAGGGAGAAGGAAAGGAAGATGCATGGATTGTTATGGAAAGATACAAGGAATAGATCTAATATTTTTGGTTCTGTAATTAGCCTTTACTTAAGGTTACCTTTTAAGAAGTTAAAAGATTGGGATATGCTAAAAAATCATTTTGACTTAATTTTATGATTATCATGAAAATTGCTTGATTTCAAAATGTTCTCTTTTTTCCTTAAGTGAAGCCTGATCCACCATTAGGTTTACACATGGAAATCACAGACACTGGCAACTTAAGGATTTCTTGGTCCAGCCCAACATTGATACCATTTCAACTTCAATATCAAGTGAAATACTCAGAGAATTCTTCAACAAATATGAGAAAAGTAAGTATATTTTAAAACATTTTTAAATGTTTATTTATTTATTTTGAGAGATAGAGACAGCCCTAGTGTGGGAGGGGCAGAGAGAGAGGGAGAGAAAGACACAGAGCCCGATGTGGGGCTTGAACTCATGAAACTCTGAGATCATGCCCTGAGCCACGATGTCCTGAGCCAAGATCAAGAGTCTGACGCTTAATGGAGGCAGCCACTCAGGTGCCCCAGTAAGTATATTCTAGTAAACAAAATGGTACATTGAGAAGCACCTAAGGATGAGACGCTTTTGAAGTCCTGTAGAAAATACCCTTTCCTTGCCAAATGTACATGGCCTTTCTGTAGGAGAGCGAGCTATAATTTAATATTGTACCATTGGCTTTCATTTAAGATCAGCATTGGAAATGACCACATGAACAGCATGTCTGGATCGTTGGTAAATGCTTTTAGAAAAATTGTTTGATGTTGCACAATATCTCTTATGTACGGATACATGTTATATATTGAGGGGTGTGACAAATTCCTCCCAGAATTTAGTCCCAGAGAAAGCTCCACTTCGAGAAAGAATTTACATATAAATTACTATCTTTCTCCTTCTCTTCCTTTTCCCTCTATTTCCCTGTCCCTTACATGCATATGTGCATATGTGTGCACATACACACAGCTAAAGGACGACAGGAAGTCCAATTACAGAAACTTGACTTCATAGTAACTCTTTCACCTACAGACCTCTGGTTTCTGATTTTACAATTCAAACACTTTCTTTTAAATTGCTCAACATATATGTTTACATGCAGTGCGTGTAAAGTGTGTCAAATCCCTTTTGCATTCTTTCGGTATTTTTGGAGTACCTACTAGATGCTAGGAACTGTTCTACATGCATCAGGATGTACTTGGTGGTAGAGCGAACTGGAGAAGGGAGTTTGAGGGTACTGGTGGGGATGGTAGGTTGTGGCATTTAAGTGGAGGTGGGGAAGACCTTATTGAGAAGGTGACATTTGGGCAAGGATTTGAAGGAGGTTCGTGATGGAGATATATGGGGGAATTAGTTTCCAAATAGAAAAAACAGCAATTTAGAGGCCTTAAGCTGGATGAGAAGCTGGAAGCCAGGAAAGTGAGTGAGGGCAAGAGTAGCGGCAGATGAACCAAAGAGTAGGAGACGAGAAGAAGAAGGTTGTAGGGAGCACGGGCTGTGCATGGACTTTGGCATTTTCCTTTGTGAAACGAATTGTTATATAATTTAGAGTTAAGAAACTGTCTTTTTTTTTTTTTTTTTTAAGCTCTGGGCCAGTTTTTTAAAGGCTTTATTTTCATGAAGAGCAGAAAAGGAATCCTTAATGTCATGTGTGGGAAAAGTAGAGTTAAGGCTTCTCTGGGTTTCAGCTTTCTCATCTATAAAATGGAGATAATAGAATTTTAAATATAGGTGATCTACTATTGTGTAATACATTCCTAGTGCTTTTCACGCTTTGAGTCTCTGCTGTCTCACAGTTTAAGAGGCCAGGGGGTTCAGTAGCTTTGGAGTATATCATTGGAAAACTGAATTTATTTGCTAAACAATTTTTAGTAGTGGTTGTTTTATGCAGAATTAAGTCTCTTGGATCTTTGCCCTCTAGTGTGTAAACTGTATCTTGATTTACTGTAGCTTATCATCAAGTTCAGATTTTTAAAATTATTCGTACCCTTCTCTGTGAAGCTTTGTTCTAGGAATATTTATAATTCTCTGTCCACTCCTGCTCATTGTTTTCTACTGTGCATGTGTATTATAGATGTCAGTGGTGGCTTGAAGCTCTCCACTGACTTTAGCTGTATCTCTCAAACTTCGAAAGGTTAATATTCATTATCATTCAGGTAAAAATATTTGCTAATTGTCATTGTGATTTTCATCTTGGGCTCATAGGCTCTTTAAACTTTAAAAAAAATGTTTTAACATATTTATTTTTGAGAGACAGAGCACGAGTGGGGGATGGGCAGAAAGAGAAGGAGACACAGACTCTGAAGCAGGCTCCAGGCTCTGAGCTATCAGTGTACAGAGCCCAACGCGGGGCTCAAACTCATGGACTGAACTGTGAGATCGTGACCTGAGCTGAAGTTGGATGCTCAAACAGCTGAGCCACCCAGGCACCCCGCTCTTTAAACTCTTATTGACAAATGTGCAAATTAATTCCACTGGGGTCACCTAAGATTTTAATTCTTTGACATTTGTTAGGAGTGCTCATCACCAATTTTGATAAAGGTTCCATGTCAACTTGATGCCCTGATGTTTTCAAATAATATTTAATAGGCTGATGAGACTATCTCAGCTACATCTCTGCTGGTAGACAGTGTGCTTCCTGGGTCTTCATATGAAGTTCAAGTGAGGGGCAAGAGACTGGATGGCCCAGGACTCTGGAGTGACTGGAGCGCCCCCCTTATCTTTACCACACAAGGTAGGGTTGCTAATAGCAGCTCCTATTGATTGGAGAATATGCTTTCTGATTTTTTCTTTGGTCTGTTATACGCATCTTAAATTTTGGGGCAGTAAAGGAGGAATGCAGTATTTATGTTTTATTTAAGTTTTGACAGGTTAATTTGTTAATGAAAACTTGTGTACAGGTTTCCAAGTTTACATGCATCCATAATAGTGTCTTGCTGGATTAACTCTTTCTTACTCAAAAGATAGAATTAATAGAAAGATTCCAAATTCACAAATTTAGAACCTTACCTGTATCAATGTTTTCTGAATTTACATTTAAAGTCATATATGCTTATTTGACATAAATTTATAATATTCAAATTTCATTTATTATATTTTATATAATATAATAAATAATAACATACTAAAATAATTTTTTCCATTCTAGATGCTTGCTTTTGAGAGTTTTCACTGTTAATATTCATATTTTTAAAGTTAAGTTTAACATCAGAAAAACTGTGGTTTCTTCAGAACTACCTCATGAAATTGGGGCAGTGCTTTACAAAGAGGCCCAGGAGCCTTAGAATAGCACAGCTCTGTTACATGCTAACTTGTGACCATAGGGAGAACTTTGTGGCCCTTTGCCAATTGTCTGATCTGTCAAAAGACCAAAATTATTCCTACTGAAACTCATGTAGGGTTGATTATGGATATATAGAGACAGCAAGTACTGTGTAAATCACTGAGAAGATAGTTAACACATTTAACTAAATAAGTTCATGTATTGATTACTTACTATTTAAAAAGCATTGCTTAGTTAAAAAGTCAGTAGCATTAGTAGTTTAAGAGCACTGACTTTAGACTCTGACAAGTATATAGAAATCCCGGCCCCACCACTTATTTGGAAAATTTCTTAACCTTTCTATGCCTCCCTTTCCTCATCTGCCAAATAGAGATGTCTTTATATGATAGAATAGCACAACACACCTAATGTGTGCAATGTGTGAATTAGAGGATTCTCACATAGCAAAGTTGCAAAAAAAAAAAAAAACAACAACCCTGGTTCACAATGTATTATTTCTACTGATGTTCATCGCATTACTGAGCATAGCTCAAATAAGTGAGGTCACTGGTACGGATTTGGAAAGCTGCCCTTAATGTTTTCTTGTCCTGACCCTTAGTAAGCACTCAGTAAATGGTAGATACATGGATGGTTTACAAATCCACAACTTGATATTCAAAATCTCAGCATCTAATAAAGGTGAGAGGTTGACATGATACATAACTAATTGCACGAGCAAGGTTGTCAGGAGAGCTGACAAAGTGCTAGACAACAGGAAGGATTGGTTCTCTCTAGGAAAGTCAGGAACCTTGTGTGAACAAAGTTAGAAAACATGAATTTCTCATCACTATTCATCAAATAATTATTGAGCAATGTGTGTAATATGGTGCTGACAACACAGCTTCAGGGTTATTTCCACGGAAGGTCAACTTTTCTACCTTCATAGGTCCTAATGACCAGCTGTGAGTTATGCAGCAGGGAACAAATTATAACATCAAATTTTAAAGACTATCCCATGAAAGTTTTTACAACAGTGGGATGGGGTGAAGTGGGTGGAAGAGGAGGGAAGTAGGCCTGACACCCACTCTGAGTGGCCCTGTGACCCCTTTCCCTACCATCTGGTGAAATGTTTCTCTTTCACACACAAAAAATGGCTTTCTTCTTTATGATTTTACTTCTTAATTAGATCTGAAAACCTACCTCTCTGAAGAAGAGGGAAATTCTAAAAGAATCATTGTTATTTTTAAAGTCTGCTAATATTTAAGTCATAACATTTATGCCTTTCTAGAATAATGGCTCTTGGTAATGTTTTCAGTGGGGTTAAGATGAAAAAATTGTTTTAATGTTTATTTTTAAGAGAGAAAAAAAGACAGAGTGAGAGCAGGGGAGGAGCAGAGAGAGGGAGACCCAGAGTCTGAAGCAGGCTCTAGGCCCTGCAGTGTCAGCACATTTCATGTCGAACCCATGAACCATGAGATGACGACCTGAGCCTAAGTCAGATGCTTAACTAACTGAGCCACTCAGGCGCCCCTAACGTGAAAACTTTGATCCAGTATAATATGATAGTTATTTCTGTTATATTTCATGTAGGATTTTGTTTTGGATTGTTCAGGTCAGGTTTTTTAGACCTTTGGATGGACATAGGGTTAGTTCTGTTTTTCCTTGTACATAACCCTTTCATACTACTGTTACTGTCTTAGTTCAAGTCAGTATCTGCAGGATTAAATTTGTTTGGTTTCTTAATATGTTGGACCATATTTTTATGCTTTTGTATATAATGTAAATCAAATTTATTAATATATATTATAAAGCACATACATACGCATATATATGTCCTTCCCTATGCATATATTTATTGTTTTGTGTACCTAACAGCACTAAAGATATGTTTTGTTGAGAAGAAATTTTGCCAATTTATTTGCTTGTGCAGTCTCTAAAAATATTAAAATTAACACCTATCCTTTTACTTATTCACACAAGTATGTCCCTCTAGTGACTTTATTTTTTTTTCCTAATGTTTTATTTATTTATTTATTTATTTTTGAGAGACAGACAGCATGAGGAGGGGAGGGTCAGAGAGAGAGGGAGACACAGAATCAGAAGCAGTCTCCAGGCTCCTAGCCAGCCATCAGCACAGAGCCCGATGGGGGGCTTGAACCCACGAGCCGTGAGATCCTGACCTGAGCCGAAGTCAGATGCTCAACCGACTGAGCCACCCAGGTGCCCTCCTCTAGTGACTTTAGACATCCCAACAGAAATATCTGAAAATGAGTGAAAAATAAAGCCAGACAATGAGTAAACGGCTCCCCAAAGGGCAGAATTTGTTGATTTAGCAAAAGGTAAATGTGTCAAGGTAGCTTACTAGTTTAATGAACTTAGATGGCTTAGATGCCACTGAGTGGTACTGGTAATTTTTAAGTGAAAGACAGAAACTTGCCAAATAGAAAGCAGACCAGGGACACCAAGAGTGGGGAGAAAAGCCTACACACTTCAGTAGCTCCCAGGCACATTTCTGAGTTACAGTATCATCTCCCGTAATAATGTAATGGTGGGTACTGAATCATAAATCAAAGGTACAGTTAGCTTCATACTTCCCTACTGTATAACAACAACAACAACAACAACAATAACAATAATATTGACAGTTACAGATTCTTCCTGGGTTTAAAGCACTGCTTTAAGTGCTTTATATGTATTATCATTATCCTTTCGATACCCTCTGAGGATCGTACTGATATTTCCCCCTTTTACAGACAAAACAATCGAGATTTAGAGATGTTAAGTAATTTGTAAAAGTTGGCATAATCTAGAGCTGGCAATCCAATCCCAGTGTTCACATTTGTACACACTAATACAGTGATTAAGTGCATGATGTATATTTATGCAAGATTTCTGGTGTCACTAAAAATTGATACTGGGAACTAATAACCAGTAAGCTTAGTTACATAGAGCATTTTAGTGGGACCCCTCACTTCCCTCATGATTTCTGATAAACGAGGTGTCAGTGTTGCTTAGGTTCAGATTTTGGTTTCGCTGAGGTTACCTTCACAGCACTTTGCACACCTCACAGCACTTACTGCACTTGAGGCTTGTTCTTGAGTGGTGTGTATCAGTGAAGTATTTTTCTCCAAACTTGGGAGCTTTCTATCCTTGTGTAAAAGCATTTGGATCCCTTTCCCTTAAATCTAGGTATTTAATATTATTAGATTATCTTCTGTTGTTCACTGATAAGGTGCTATAATGGCATCCACCAAACAGAATCTTACAAACATTCTGTAAGATTGAGGCATTAACTCATTTAGAATGAATTAGCACACTTGCTTTATCATTTCCAAACACTTTGGATTTTATGGATTTTTTTTTGAACAGAGGTTGTCTGATGTATTGCTGCCAGAGCAAACAGAATATTTTCAGTACCTTTATAGTTACTACTTTTTATTCATTTATTTATTAAAGCTATACCTACCAAGTACACAGTTAATGAAGCATCAACCATTTCTTTTTTTTTTTTTTTACAAATATTTTATTGTCAAATTAGTTTCCACATAACACTCAGTGCTCATCCCCAAAGTGCCCTCCTCCATGCCCACCCCCCCTCCCCCCCACATCCATCAGTCCTCAGTTTTTGTCAGCATTCAAGAGTCTCTCATGGTTTGCCTCTCTCCCTTTCCCCCACCATTTCCGCCCTTCTTCTCCCCCTTGTTCCTCCGTCAAGTTCCTCCTAATCCTCCTATACGTGCAAACATATGATATTTGTCCTTCTCTGCCTGACTTATTTCGCTCAGCATAACACCCTCAAGGTCCATCCATGTTGCTACACATGGCCAGATTTCATTGTTTCTCATTGCCATGTAGTATTCCATGGTATAGATAAACCACATCTTCTTGATCCATTCATCTGTTGATGGACACTTAGGCTCTTTCCATGTTTTAGCTATTGTGGAGAGGAAGCATCAACCATTTCTAATGAAGGAATTCTTACAGATTTTTTGAAAATGAATTGTCTAGGTTCTTTGTAGCTGTGGGGAGATCTTGGACTTTGAGAGGAAAACCCAGGACCCTGGCAGAACTTATGAAGTCTAACAATATTGCAATTAAGTTATGTTACATACTTAAAACCAGTTTAGAAGTGCTGACTTCTTATAGTACTTTCTTAATCATATTCTTGTGCTGCCAAAGAAGACCAGAAACGTTTCACACTTGGCAGTGCTTATAATGCGTAAGAGAAAATATTTTCCCCTCAAAAATAGGAAGTCTGCTTTGAAAATTTAAAACTCTATTTTCTGTAGCTATAATTAACACATTGTAAACTAACTTTAACTAAAATGTTTTTGATTCATGATTTATGTTTATGTAAGTAATTCACTAATATTTATCAACAGGTTTTCCTCTTTTAATGATATTCACTAGTATAGACCCTGCAAAGGTATTGGTACCTGGTCATCAGAAGAAAATTATTATTTTCTTATTTTACAAATTAAATGTTGTGTAGTACCTTACACAAGAATAAAAAATATATTTATATTATTTAAAAAATTAAACATTCATTTCATATCAATTTCTGTATATTCAGTGTAAATTTTACACATCACTGGGTTTTTAATAGCTTACTTTTCTTCTTTGAAGCTAATATTTTAATATTTAATCATGCCAAAATACTGTGACTTTAACTGCATTTCTTGATTAAGGCTTACTGAGGCATTCAATTTTGGAGTGAAATGCTTTGAGTTTTTTAATTATCTTTAAACATAAAAGATTCGGCTTAGCTTTTGAAATTTAATGTGTACTCTTTAAGAAATTAAATTGCTCAAAGTTTTGAAGCCATTCAGTAATGATATGTGGAGCATATTGAAGGTAGGTTAATGATCTTTTAGATCTGTGCTAGGTACTTGTGTGCAGTAAGTAATGTACTAACGAAGCTTGAGTGCCATCCTAGGCTAGGGTTAAAAATCTAATGGACTGTCTTCTGTCAAGTGACTTCATGCTACTCATTTTTTTCCTGTTATGCTTGACTGCAAACATACAAAATACAAATGTTTTGTATGGATTCTAAATACAAGGCCATGGGATTTAGCCTGCTATTGCAAAAAAGAAAAGACTTAAATAATAAAAATCAATGAAGTTTTTCATTTTTGTTTTGGGGGATAATCCAGATGATAGATATAGAAACAGATACTCATATTCTCTCAGAAGAAAATGGGTTGTCATGAATTCTACAACTAAAATATACTCTTCTTGTAATGCACTGTGTCAGAAATGACTTCTTAGGTAAACAATCACTTTTATTCTGTTTCTAATTAAAAATATGGGCAAACTATGTTTCCAACAATAGGGGACCAAAAGAATAATATAGAATAGTATAGAGGCATTAAAAATAATATTTTAGAAAAATATTGGTTCCTCTTATCCTTAACCAGAGCATACTGGCATTAAGTAACTTAAAATATTACAGATCAGTATTTTTTTTCCCTGTTTTGGTACGTTTGTGCATTGTTGATTTTATATTCGCTAACTAGTTCTCTTTTTTTAATTGTTTTAATGTTTATTTAATTTTTTGAGAGAGAGAGGGAGCAGGGGAGGGGCAGAGAGAGAGAGAGACAGAGACCGAGGCACAGAATCTGAAGCAGGCTACAGGCTCTGAGCTGTCAGCATAGAGCTGATACGGGGCTCAAACTCACGAACCATGAGATCATGAGATCATGACCTGAGCCAAAGTTGGATGCTTAACCAACTGAGCCACCTAGGCAACCTGTCCGTAACCAGTTCTTTTATTTAAAGCTTATTTTTCAACTTTACCTTCTGAGTTGAAATTTTCATATATCCAAATGAGACAAAAGCAACCACCACTTTTCTTCAGGATTTTGCCTTATTTGATTTGATTTGATTCAAGAACTCAGCCTAAGTGTCACTGAGTCTTATGGCAGAGTATGATGGAAAACATGTCATTGTGGAATTAGATGACATTTCATTCAAATTAATTTTCTGCCTATGAATTAGCAAGTGACAATTACTCATTAAAACATATTTTGTAATAGGTAAGTATGTTTAGAAAATATGGAGACATTTTTGGAAGTTCAAGTCATTTGGGAATGGGAATGCATGGATACTATATAACTGTACATAAATGGGCAATACAATGCATTTATTTTATTTTTGACAGTATGATCCTGATTGCATTGTGAATCTTTTCTATGCAGCATAAATTCCATACAGGATGTTTTTGGTCTTCATCTGATATCCTCCCTTTCTTCTCTTATTGCAGATGTCATATACTTTCCGCCTAAAATTCTGACAAGTGTCGGGTCCAATGTTTCTTTTCACTGCATTTATAAAAGTGAAAATGAGATTGTTTCCTCAAAAAAGATTGTTTGGTGGATGAATTTGGCTGAGAAAATTCCTCCAAACCGGTATAATGTTGTGGGTGACCATGTTAGCAAAGTTACTTTTCCTAATTTGAATGCAACCAAGCCTCGAGGGAAGTTCACCTACGATGCAGTGTACTGCTGCAATGAGCATGAATGCCACCATCGCTATGCTGAATTATATGTGATTGGTAAGAATACTGAACTTCTCTTCATTTCCTTCTGCAGACAGGTTTTTATTATGGACCCTATGTTAGAGTCCCATTGATAATGTAAGGAAATTTTATTTTCATTAAAAAATTTGTGGTGATTTTGCTTTGTATTAATATTTTAATGTGTTTTAAATAGATGTCAATATCAATATATCATGTGAAACTGATGGGTACTTAACTAAAATGACTTGCAGATGGTCAACCAATGCAATCCAATCACTCGTGGGAAGTACTTTGCAGTTGAGGTATCATAGGTATGTATTATTTTTGCTGTGTTATTATTCTGTGGATATGGTGAGATAAAACTTTTTATAGAAATATCATCAGGAAAGTACTCTAGTAGATGTTCTTCCTAATAGAGGAGGTATTATGTACTTAATTAGGAAATTTTTTGAGGGATTAAATAAATTGGTGTGTTTTGAAAAAATTTACATTGACTTAAAAAATATAACTTGTTTTTACCTCAAATTCTTTTTCTGATAATCAATTGATTTTCCATAATTGCCTTTTAACTACTGAATGGAATCCAGGAAGAATTGGCTTCTGTACATTTTAGTTTGACTTAGAGAATTGATTGGAGGGGAATATCTACAATTCTAGAAGTCCAATATCATTTGCTAAAGATTAATCTTTTGGAAAAAAGTCCAAAGTAGTTGCACAAAGATTGTAAGAGGTAATATAAATGCTTTTAGAAGTAGGAAAGATTAAAAAAGAAATGCTTAACAAGAAGTGAAGTGTCAGGGAGCCTGGGTGGCTCAATCGGCTGAGCGTCCGACTTCGGATCATGTCATGATCTCGCAGTTTGTGGGACTGAGCCCTGCATCCAGTTCTGTGCTGACAGCTCAGAGCCTGGAGCCTCTTTCAGATTCTGTGTCTCCCTCTCTTTCTGACCCTCTCCTGCTCATGCTGTTTCAGAAATTAAAAAAAAAAAAAATTAAAAAAAAATTTTAAAAGAAGTGAAGTGTTGTAATAAAGAGTAATTTGTGTTTAATTTTACCCTTCGCTGTTTTAAAATGAATCTAAGACATCATCTTCTTATAGTATCATCTGAAATAATAGCACTCTTAATTAGGAAGAGGTAGATACATTTTTATTTTTATAAACTCTCCTAGTAGGTTTCAGTGATGTGTCTGCTCTCAAACACCCTGCCTCAATTTGTGTTCATACTGGGCTCCATATTGGGGTCTTCTAGTTTGTTTATTTGTCCTCATTTATTCTTAAAATCTAAATTTCTACTTGAAAAACAAATTCCTTTCCTCAAGCACTGTGATCTGAATTCTGTCCCTAAAGTGACCAGTCTATTTTTATGTAGTGTTGGGGAAAAAAAATGGGGCAATTTCTACATTTCTTACATGGGAATAATAGCTGGCTTCATCTTACTTGATAGGAGGATTTTAAAATCAATAGAATGTTCATGGGATGCCATTTTACTTTTATATCTGTCTTTACATTCCTTCCATGGCATTTTCACATTAAAAAAGGTATTTGCGGATCACCATCACATAAACTCTGTGCCTCAGTTATATTGTTAATATTTACAGAAGAGTGTGAAACCCCCTGCATGTTTGGGGTTTTTTTGTTTGTTTGTTTGTTTGTTTTACCTCTCTAAGCCTCGATTTCCTTGTCTGTACAATGGAGCAAACAATAGGACTTTCAAGGTTTCTGTGAGAATTAATGATAAATCCCACTTAATTATAGTTAAGTGATAGAATTTCTCCTGGTAAATATTCAGTAAATGGCTATTGCTGTCATGAAGACAGAGATATAACCTTTGCATTCCAAATGGAGCATTACTGTGCTTCTGTACATGGTCACAGTTCTTTTTACCGCACATGACTCACGATGCCTTGTTCTCATCTCTCCCGTGTCCCCACTAGCACTCATTCACACACAGACACCCCAACGATTGTAATTTTGTGGAAATAGGTAGGAAAGGTGTCACAAAAAATTGAAACAGAGAAACCAAAGAATGTGTAATCACTTTACTCCATTTTTATGGAAATAGAAAATGCTAATTTAACCACTTAAATACCATGTTCAGAGCAAATAGTGGCAGAAGGTCTATTTCATAGGAGAAATGCTTTGTATGTTCTGAGGTAGAATGTTGATTGGGACACAGTTAATTTTCTTCTCTGAGAAAATGTGTTACATATTTAACTATATGATTCAGATACAAATCAAAGATTGGCATTATTTTCATTGTAATGCTTTGAACTAGAAAATATTAGGAGATTGTCAATTAAGCTATAATTTGCTATCAGTTGTGTCTTCAAATTGTGGTGGAATTTAATCCCTATTTAAATTGTAAGGGATTTATCTTCCTTCCCATCTCAGGAATGCCCCGATACTACTTGTGATCTACACTTTTAAAATGGTATCAGTTAAGGGGCGCCTGGGTGGCTTAGTCGGTTAAGCGTCCGACTTTCGCTTAGGTCATGATCTCGCGGTTCGTGGGTTCGAGCCCCGCGTCGGGCTGTGTGCTGGCTGCCAGCTCAGAGCCTGGAGCCTGTTTCAGTCTGTGACTCCCTCTCTCTGACCCTCCCCTGCTCACACTGTCTCTCTCTCTCTCCTAGAAATAAATAAAAACATTAAAAAAAAAAAATCTTTTAAAAAAATGGTATCAGTTAATTATTAGCTTAACTTTCAAAATGTTGTAGTTTCTACCTCTAATTGGATCCTTGTCTTCTTTTTAGAGCAGTACCATCTATTTTATTTGCATTTCCACTTAGTATCTAATATAAGGTTTATTGTCATTTTTATGGAAATGCATAAAATTGGGATACAGTAGGGAAATCAAAAATGCCTTTCCAGTAAGAACATCTGTTTTAAGTGGAATAAAAACTATGGTATTCTCTCCAATATCTTATCATTTTCATCAATGTTGTATATTAATGGACTGTTCTCGTATCTTTTAAGGAGCAGCCTTTACTGTTCTGATGTTCCATCTATTCATCCCACATCTGAATCCAAAGATTGCCATTTGCAAAGAGATGGTTTTTATGAATGTGTATTTCAGCCAATCTTTTTATTATCCGGCTATACCATGTGGATTAGAATCAATCACTCTTTGGGTTTACTCGACTCTCCACCAACATGTGTTGTTCCTGATTCTGTGGGTATGTCAAACTGTGTTTTGTGTCTTCATTTTTATTAGCAGATTTCGATTCAAGTTGATTCATGGTAATTGTGTTTTACTATTTTCAGATAAGCCTATTTTTAAACAAAGTTTTTGGGTGTTTACAGTGGAATTGAGAAGACAATCAACCTTAGAAAGTTTTACTGTTTTTATGTTATTTTAAATTACTTATAGCACAATGTTTTTGTGATAGGAATATTTTCAGCATATAATGTGATAAGTTATATTGGTCATTGGGAATAAAATGTAGCAGTAATATTATTGTAAGTAATGCACTACATTGTTTTTCTCCCAACGTACTTATGAAAACATTTGGTGTTTTTAATTTAGAAATTTAATTTGGATATTGTGATGGATTTTGTAATCTGAGTAGTCATAACACAAGGGTTTAATTTGTGAGGCTGTGTAGGGTACAGAAGGATTCAAAATAACTGCAGTGAAGGAGAAAAAAATAGATAAAGATGATATCCATTGTGATATTTTTATTTTTTATTTTTTTTTTAAATGTTTTATTTATTTCTAGGAGAGAGAGAGACAGTGTGAACAGGGAAGGGTCAGAGAGAGAGGGAGTCACAGACTGAAACAGGCTCCAGGCTCCGAGCTGGCAGTCAGCTCAGAGCCCGACGCGGGGCTCGAACCCACGAACCGCGAGATCATGACCTAAGCGAAAGTCGGACGCTTAACCGACTAAGCCACCCAGGCGCCCCCCATTGTGATATTTTTAAATATGCTTTAAAAAAGATCCATTGATTTCAAAGGATTAAGAATATATTGAAAGAATATTTTGAAAAATATAATACATTCCTTGAATATTGCTGCAAAATTTTTGAGAAATGACCTATTTATGATTATGCAACAGAGGTAAAAGAATATCTTTTGGTCCTATATACTATTTTGTTGGGAAATTATGCCAAAAATCAATATTTAATTCATGATATTTTCAAATAATTAGTACATATCTGAATTAAAACCTGTATTTTGTTAAATATATGATAAAGTCATAATTTTGGGGTTTTTAAATTACCATAGAGTCCCAATTAATTGATTCCCTCTCCCTTCCCCCACACACATGCACATGTGCGTGCGCGCACACACACACACACACATACTATTTAGTTTGGTTCCATTTAAAGGGATTTTATTGTAAGGAGTACTTCTCTGGTACTAAGTATCTTGGAATAGCATGGAATTCTCTTACCACTCTCTACCCCGCAAACATGCACGTTAATAACTTCACATGTAATATATGACAATATTAATTCATTTCTATATGCTATTGGAACAGTCTTTGATGTTATTCTTTAAAGTACTAAAATAAAGAGTTTAAGTTAAGGCTTCCTAGTACTAGAAAACAAGGAGGAGATTCCACTTTAGGATCCAAATGCCAGCTCCATGTGTTACTAGCTCTGTAAACATGGGCTAGACATGTAAGTGCCATGTGACTAGTTTATTACCCATAAAATGTGGAAAGCTTCTCCTTCCTCCTCAGCATGCATGTTGTGGGGATCATGCAAACTCTTGAACTTTAAAGCATCCTTTCTGCAAACTAGATATTCATGGAATATATGCATATGGTATCCATGTGATTCAGTCAAGTAAGATCACAGATTGAATGTCTTAGCGTCGCTCGCATATTCATATTTCCTTTTCTGAAGAGGAATTAACTTTTCAGGAGTTGAAATGCATGTCATCTTACTGGTTGGTAAAGAATGTCTTCTTCATACATGAAGAATTGAATAAGCATGAGAAACATTAGTAATGAAAAGGTATAGAGGTTTTGGTCATCAGCAGTCTAAGGTATTATTGACAAGTGCAGAGCTTCAGAACTTCAGAGTTCACACTACTCTGCTGGAACATTGGGACTTTTAGTTCCCAAATATGCTGAGCTTGCACATTGACTTGTACTATTTTATTTTTTTAAAGCTCTTCCCCTTCTAGTCATCTTTGGCTCTATTTCTGCCCTTCAAAAGCCTGTTTTCCTCAGATGATAGAGAACCAAGGCCTTACTCTGTAAGACCATCTCTTACCTTAACCTAGAGATACTTAATAATAGATTGTAGGGCAGTTTGAAACTCATACATGTGGTAATGAATGCAGTGCATGTTGTAGTTTTCTTTAAAAAAATTTTCTTTAATGTTTATTTTTGAGAGAGAGAGAAAGGCAAAGTACGAGCTGGGGTGGGGCAGAGAGAGAGAGGGAAACACAGAATCTGAAGCAGGCTCCAGGCTTAGCACAGAGCCTGATACGGGGCTTGAACTGCGAGATCATGAATTGAGCTGAAGCCAGATGCTTAACCGACCACCCAGGAGCCCCTAAAGTTTTTTTAAGTTTGTTTATTTATTTTGAGAGAGAGAGAGAGAGCGTGCACGTGCGAGCAATGGGAGAGGAACAGAGAGTGAGAGAGGGAGAGAGAGAATCCCACACAGGCTCCGCATTGTCAGCTCAGAGCCCGATGTGGGGTTCAAACTCATGAACCATGAAATCATGACCTGAGCTGAAATCAAGAGTCAGGCCTTAACCCACTGAGGCACCAAGGTGCTCATATTTTTCCTTTTATTAAAAAAGCTCTATGTAAAACAGAGGTTGCTTTTAATATTTATCACGTGTTCAGTATGGATTCTTTTGCCTGTGGAACTAATGGCTCAATTTCTAGTCAGATCTTACAATTACTTGCAGAGTGACTTGGTCAGTATATTGATTTTGTTTTTCAACCAACCTCACTATTTACGAAATAGAGATAATCCCTTACTTATCTATCACCTAAAATTGCAGGGGATCAAGTGAAATAATGAGAAAGCTTTGAGAAGAAAATATTGCTTTATAGAGTATAAAAGATTATAACATCATAATAATGTTTTTAAAATATTATCACTGTTTAAATTGCTGTTATACAGTACTGTTTTTAAAATTTCTAGTGAAGCCACTGCCTCCATCCAGTGTGAAAGTGGAAATTACTGTAAAAATTGGAGTATTGAAAATATCTTGGGAAAAGCCAGTCTTTCCAGAAAATAATCTTAAATTCCAGATTCGCTATGGCTTAAGTGGAAAAGAAGTACAATGGAAGGTACATTTTACCTAGAAATGTCTTCACCTTGCCTCACTAAATGTTATTTCTTATAACCATTTAAGAATTTTATTACATAAGATTTATTTTACTAGCATAAAAGTACAACTTCCTGTATTCTATAGCTATTTTTGTTAAGTAGATATTTCTATAGGTCTAACCCTTTTTAAAATTTTTTCTAATGTTTTTTATTTATTCCTGAGAGAGAGAGACAGCATGAACAGGGAAGGATCAGAGAGAGGGAGACACAAATCTGAAGCAGGCTCCAGGTTCTGAGCTAGCTGTCAGCACAGAGCCTGACGTGGGGCTTGAACCCACGAACTGTTGAGATCATGACCTGAGCCAAAGTCAGCCGCTTAACCCACTGAGCCACACAGGCGCCCCAGTCTAACTCTTTTTAAAAGAATCATTTTAATGTTTATTTTTGAGAGAGAGAGAGGGAGAGAGAGAATGAGAGAATGAGTTGGGGAGCAGCACAGAGAGAGAGAAAGAGCAGAGGATCTGAAGTGGGCTCTGCACTGACAGCAGAGAGCCCAATGTAGGATTCAAACTCATGAACCGTGTGACCTGAGTTGACCTGAGCTGAAGTTGGGCACTTAACTGACTGAGCCACCCAGGCAACCCTAGATCTAACCCTTTTAAGTTATGACATTTCCTGCAACCCATCATTTCCCAAAATGAATTTGACAGAATATTGAAATATTCCTTGAAAAAAGATTACATGGATGAATAAATGTAGGAACCTCTGTATCATTGTGTTCCTAGTACAGAAATGCACTGTGTTATATACTAAAGGTTTAGAGAGGTCCTGCATCAGAGTAACATTTGTGACTTTATTCTGTGTTTCTCAAACTCAGTTTAATGAGGAGCCCTTTTTCCTTTAACATGTAATATTCTTTAGTATACTTATGTTCAATGGGACACATTTTGGAAGAAGCCGCTTTTACCAAACAACCCAAATCACACCCATAGTGGCAAGTATGCATATGATGATAGGTCATGTCAGTTTTCAGATGGCAGCCAGCAAAGACCCAGGAATATCAGGAACCCATATTATGCCTTTAGATCATCCTGATTTTAGCAGAAAGGAATGTGACAGTTTACCATCTTATTGAGGAGACTATCAGAGATACCACTTGTAACCACTCAGTTAAAATTATTAAGAATTTCTGTGGGTAGAGGATTAGTGGACAGAGATTAGTAATAGAGTTAAGAGCAGTTGGGAATGAAGTTGCAAGTAGGTCAGTCCAAATCTTGGCCTGAGAAGGAGACCATAGATGACTAGGACAGTCCTTCACTTGAAGGAGCTCAAGATCCAAGCCAAGTATTTCTAAAGCCAGAAGACACAAAGTCAGCTTTCTGTTAATTTTGGAATAGTATTAAGATTTTAAATAAAATGCAGTTCAGAGCCCCTTAGCCACGTAGGTGTTAGAAATGATTACTCTAGGGGCGCCTGGGTGGCTTAGCCGGTTAAGCGTCTGACTTTCGCTTAGGTCATGATCTCGCGGTTCGTGGGTTCGGGCCCCGCATCGGGATCTGTGCTGACTGCCAGCTCAGAGCCTGGAGCCTGTTTCAGAGTCTGTATCTCCCTCTCTCTCTGACCCTCCCCTGCTCACACTGTCTCTCTCTCTCTCTCTCCTAGAAATAAATAAAACATTAAAAAAAAAAAAAAAAAAAAAAAAAAAAAAAAAAAAAAAAAAAAAAAAAAAAAAAAAAAAAAAAAAAAAAAAAAAAAAAAAAAAAAAAAAAAAAAAAAAAAAAAAAAAAAAAAAAAGAAATGATTACTCTAACATTTAAGCTTATTTTACAGATGTATGAGGTGCATGATGCCAAATCCAATTCTGCCAGCGTCCTGGTGCCAGACCTGTGTGCCGTCTATACTGTCCAGGTGCGCTGTAAGAGGCTGGATGGGCTGGGATATTGGAGCGATTGGAGTAGTCCAGCCTACACAGTTGTCACAGATATAAAAGGTCTGTAGAGATTTTGTAAATGTGTCTTAAAAATTCATAAGGGTGTGTGTTTCAAGTAGGACTAAAAACTGTTTTTTTCTGAGAGCATGTGTACAACTTGGGCTCCTTGTCTTTCTGCAGTTCCTACCAGAGGCCCCGAAGTTTGGAGAATAATTAAAGAAGATACCACTAAAAAAGAGAGAAATGTGACTTTACTTTGGAAGGTATTCCTGCCTTTTATATTATTCTTAAATTTTATTTTTATGCTCATGAAAATTTACTTCATTGTTCACAATCCTGTCATTTTTTAGGCTCTGCAGTTTGAGACTTCATTTCAGTTTTGAGATGTGATTGCAGATAGCTATGATGCACTGGCACGGAGTTAGGGAACTTCATTCTATTCTCAGCTGACTATATTATAGCTAAGGCGGTATTATTTTGGCAAAGTTGCTTAGATGCTTCAGCCTCATTTTTCTCATCTGTATAAATGTAGGGCTGGACTAGATGATACCTGCTAAAATCCTACTCCCCAGCTACCCAGATTGTTCCACACCCTGCAGGCACACGTGTATGCGTTTGCATTTATTTTTTTCTGTTTTTTTCTGCCTTTGAGGAATCTTGATGACAAAAAAAAAATATATTGAGAAACACTTCCAGTCTATTGTAGAGAGTCATTTTCAATGGTTTTATAAGGCATTGGCAGCACTGAATGTTATTTGAAACAGGTGGCAGTAATGGGGGTAGTGGGGTGTGTTCTTAATGCTCTGTAGAATGGAAGAGCAGAATTGGACTAGATATGTATTTTACATTGGAATCATCAGTGATCTGGTATGATTTTTTTGAAATGATGGGGCAGAAATTCTGGGGTGACATATACATGGTTCTGATAGCCTCCATTACTTGAATTAGCAACATATGAGAAGAAAACAAATGATACTAGGATTAACATAAATGATGATTAATATATTTTCAGCTCTTTCTTGTTGTTGCTTTACAAAACCAGACAGTTATTCCTTGTTGGTTTTTCAGATGAGGAAACTCTTGACTCTCTTCTGGTCTTTCGTTTCTCTAAAATTAGTGTGAAACTTCTCAGTAGAAAAGTGTCCTAATTGTATCATCATTAATTATCTTTAAATGATTTATTCTCTAACTCTTAAGTGGACAAAAACCCCAAAAGGAAAAAAACTAAGTTTCCTGTGCTCCATACCCACCGCGATGCCTTCATTGTGTCTGTGATCAGACACCAGCCCTATCCTGCCTCACCTCCCCATACTTCAGCCTTGAACTAGACAGGGCTTGCCCTGGTCTGAACCCTGCCTCCCAGTGGGGAACGTATAAGAAGAGTTCATGAGCTTGGTTGGTATAAAAAGCACTGGAGCCCTTAAACTAATCAATTTTCGTATTTACTACAGCCTTTGATGAAAAATGACTCATTGTGCAGTGTAAGAAAATATGTGGTAAAACATCATACTTCCCGCAATGGAACATGGTCAGAAGATGTGGGAAATCATACTCAGTTCACTTTCCTGTGGACAGAGCAAGCACATTCTGTTACAGTTCTGGCTGTCAATTCAATTGGTGCTTCTTTTGTGAATTTTAATTTAACATTCTCATGGCCTATGAGCAAAGGTAAGAAGAGGTACAGGGTAGTAAACCTGTGCCCCTTTCAATATTTAATCTTTACAAACTCCTCCCATTCTAAATGATCTTCCAAGAAGCCTGTAATTCCCTGAATCTGAAAGTCTGTCTTCTGTATTTTTATCTTTTCTTTTCTGAAAAATAACAAAGCAAATTGTACCCTGGTTATGTAATATGGCCTTTGGGTTTTCATGTGGTAGAACCATGTTGAAATAGAATTATGATATGTGAGAATATTCTAGTAAATCTGATACTTAAACCTTTTGGATCACTGCAAGTTGTACATGAATTAATCTCTTTCTCCCTGCCTCTGTATGTGTGTGTATACATGTAAAAATAAGTACATGTATGTGTGTGTGTTATATTTATTACATATAAGTGTAATAATATGACAAATGGATGCAAATATTTGCTCACCCTTGAAAATTAACCTGTTCTTCATTTAATATAAGTGATGAACTGGGGCTCCATGATGACTCAGTCAGTTAAACATCCAACTCTTGGTTTTGGCTCAGGTCATAATCTCACAGTTCGTGAGTTCAAGCCCTGCATCAGGCTCCACTCTGACAGCACGAGGCCTGCTTGGGATTCTCTCTCTCTCTTCCTCTCTCTTTTCTCCTCTTCCACACTCTCTCTCAAAATAAATAAACTTAAAAAAAGTGATGAGCCTTTTTTTCATTAATTTTGATATATTTAATTAGAGAATTGAGAACTACCTTTAATAGGAGTTTCCAATATCAGTACATATTCAAAGTATCTTTTTAATGGAAATTCAAATCTGTACATCTACTAACCTCTTCCATAAAGTCTTTGCTTATTGCTTTAATTAGATATGTCCTAATATATCTTGCCAAGGTATTTTATGTCATGCCTTATATTAATGATTACTTTTGTACGTATAGTGTAAGCTTCTTGTAAGTTCCATGGTACCTGTACAATGGTTTACACTAAAAATATATCCCATCAAAATGTTCTAGAAATATTTACTGAATGCTGCACTATGCTAGGTGGTGGGAATTCCAATGTGAGAAAAACTATAATGGTCTCAGTATCCACAGAGCCAAATCAACTTTTTGATTATTTGATTATTATATTATTATAATCATACAAGTTGATGCCTATTTTCAAACTGAGATAAATGTTCCCAGGAGAGGAATATAATTCTATAAAAGAAAAGAAAATAGGAACCTTGGTATTGAGGATTAGAGAAGCTTTCTTAAACAAGCAGTATAGGAATGAAACTTCCCCAAAAGGTGGGGCTAGGAGCATTGGCTCTTGAGAGAAGAGTCTGACCAAAAGTCCTTGTGGTATAGAAGAGGACATGAAGGAATTTTATTCTCACATCTGGAAATCTACTGGAGGCTTTATTTTTTTAAGTTTATTTTTATTTTTTCAAGTAGGCTTCACTCCCAGCACAGAGTCCGTCATGGGGCTTGAACTCACAACCCTGAGATCAAGATCTGAGCTGAGGTCAAGAGTTAGATACTCAACCTACTGAGCCACCCAGGCAACCCTCCAGTGGAGGTTTTTTAAGTGAGACTCTGTGAGGAGGGTGTTAAATGATCAGATTTGTTTTTTGAATGCACAACTCCATCAGCAGGAGATAAGAGTTTGGAGGGAAGTAGAGAGGATGATTAATAGGCTTGTGCAGTATTCCAGTGGAGAGCAACTCCCTTGACTCTATCCAAAAATCCCCTTTTTGGTTTCTCCTCAATAGCATATATTCCTACATGTTTTTGCATATATGACTCTGTGGTACAAAAACAATTGTATTACATTTATTTATATAAATGTCAGCCTTCCCTTCCTTCTTCTTTAGTCCAGTAGGTTATATGTGCCTCAAGGGTATTCTATTTTTTTAAATTAATTTTGAATTTAAAAACAAATTTCCTTCTTTTCCCCTCAGTAAATACCGTGCAGTCACTCAGTGCTTATCCTTTAAACAGCAGTTGTGTGATTCTTTCCTGGAAGTTATCACCCAGTGATTACTCTCTGATGTATTTTATTACTGAGTGGAAAATTCTTAACGAAGACAGTGAAACTAAATGGCTCAGAATCCCTTCATCTGTTAAGAAGTATTATATTCATGGTGAGTTTGCTGTACTTTAATAAGTTTCTCTTATGGAGTAGTAGGAGGGTGGTTATTAATTCAAATAACATAGCCAGTTAATGAAACCTTCAAAATTATAGATGATACTACCATCTTACTATATATAATTCTATCCCTTCATCATAAACATTCACTTCTGTTTCATTTGATCCTTTTTAAATATTTTACACAGTTGTAATCATATCATCTATCACCTTTCTTTCTGATTTGTTCCTTTGACATATCACAGGCATGTTTCTGTTTTCTCCCCAATCCTTTTAACCATTGTTTTTAATGATCATATAGCATTTTATTCTAAAGTCTACTTAAACCATTTATTTATTTGGGAACATTTCTGTTGCTTCTAGCTTTACCTTTTTTCCCCAGACTATTTTTTAATGGGTTTTAATATCTACCACTAAATTGTTTTCCCAAATCTGTGTACCAACATATAATGCCACTAGTGGAGAATTGGAATGCCAGGCTGAAGGTCTAAAAATGTAGGAGTTGGTGATATAGGCAATATAAACTCCCCAAAATAGACCAGACCAGGAGGCAATTAAAGTGCATAATAGAGTATCTCCATGTCTGAGTAAGGTTTAAGTAGGGAAGCTAATGATTACCATGATCCTATAATATGGTATCACTCCAGAGACTTATACTTTGATTTCACTCCAAATACCCTAGCATCAGGGCAAATAGAAACGATTGATAGAGAACTAAATTCAGTTCATTATCACTGTTGTCCAGATGAGTATTCTCTGTGCCTTTATTTACACCAAGGGAGTATATAATTTAGGCTTCAAAGAGATTGGTCCCTTGTGGAATATTTATTTATATTATTATTAACATTTATAAAATGATACATCACTGATAGATTTGTTTTGAGCTTTGCTATACAGATGGTTTTTCCCTTGATGGAGGGACCCCTGGATAAGCAAGGGTCTCCTGTCCCTCCCCCCGCAATTCTTTGCATTTCATAAGACTTTAGTCTCACAGCTGTCTTGAATAGGGAGGTTAAGTAAACTAAATGCCTATGAAAGCTATGCTAGCTTTGGGGATATGGGAGAGGAGGTTGGGCATTTTGTCCTAGAAAGGGAAACTGGAAGCTCATATTCTGTGACCTGGAACAATTTGGTAATCATTGGAACATGCCTTTGAAAATTGCAATCTTCTGTCTCTGGGAAATATTTTCAAAAATTATTTGAAAATTATTGTTTATTACTAGGGGAATTTGGAATGCTTAGGTTATTTTTGAAACTCTCTTAGTCATCAGTATCAATCCATAAATAACAACTGATTTCTATGTGTGGAAATATAGGAGGGTCACCTAAAAGTTTTTATATCAGTTTTACTCATTAATATTAATTCAGTAGGAATGACCCTTTAATGAATTTTTCTCCTCAGATCATTTTATCCCTATTGAGAAGTATCAATTCAGTCTTTATCCAGTATTTATGGAAGGAGTGGGGAAACCGAAGATAATTGATAGTTTTACCCAAGGTAAAATTTTTCCTTTGGTTTCTATTGATACAGATGTGTGGTTTCCTACTCAGTTAGCAGTTTAACTGCCATCTGATTATTTTTTTTCTGATGAAGTCATGGAAAAGTTCAGAGTCTTACATAGATATGTCAGGGAGTGATTACAGTAATGGTATATGGTTCCTTGGTGGTAGTAAGAAGGAGAATAACCAAGCATGGTATTGCATTCTTCTATTGGAAATTAAAATTTTCAGTCTCAAATTGGGTAAAAAGTTAATGGAAACAAAATTTAATGGAAACAAAATAAAGGGAGATATGCAGTTGTACAATAACATATATCATCTGAAAGACTAATAGGAAAAATATTAATTTTCTGTATAATTCATATAAATTCATCTACCCCAAACAATGTGTATGGGGGTGCATACTTATGAGCCTTTAAATTTTAATCAGCCTTTTAAAGGAAACGTTTTGTCCTGTAAAAATAAAGCTGGAGAGGTGGTTATAGAAATAAATTCATTGTTCCTATTAAATTTCTGATTCATCTCATGCTTGGAGAATCAACATTTTGATTTTGCTGTTACTGTTCACATTGTCTTCAAATCCAAACAACCTAATGATGAAGTTTCAAGAGAGAAATATTTTGCCTGGTTTCAGAATTAAAATAATTATTAAAAAAATCATTCATTTTTATTTGACAAATACATGTTATGCACAAGAACTGGGGATTGAACAGTAAATATCAGTCTCTGTACTCATGAAGCTTAAACCCCAGTGCTCTAATGGGAATGACAGTATACAAATCAAGTATAATATAACATTAGATAGAAGGAAGTGTCATGCAGTAAAATAAAAGTAATATGCGTTAAAATGTGGTGCTTTAGGGACCCCTTGGGGTCTCCGTAGGTTAAGCATCTGACTTCCGCTGAGGTTCTCATGGTTTGTGAGTGCGAGCTCTATGTAGTGCTCTCTGCTGTCAATGCGGAGCCTGCTTCAGATCCTCTGTCCCCCTCTCTCCCTCTGTCCCTCCCCAGCTCACACATTCTCTCTCTCCTTTTCAAAAATAAACAAACATTTTTTTTAAATGTGGTGCTTTAGTTAGGATGGGCAGAATTGGTCTTTTTCTCTGCACAGGTGACATTTAGGGCAAGCCCTGAAGTACAAGAGAAGAGCATTTCAGGCAAAGGGTCAGTAAGTGCGAAGTTTCTCAGGAGTGAGCACACTTGGTGGCTCAAGAAAAGCAAGGTCAATGTGTGTGTACTGAACAAGGTAGACATTGGCAGGTGTTGTAGGCTGGCTTCTCTAGAAGCAGATTCTGAGACAGAGAGTCATCAGAACAACTTTAACTGACACTTTGACTCATATAACCTAACATGATCAAATGGAATTGGCAAAGAAATAATTTTGAAAGAAATGTTTTGCTAAATTACAGTAAGCATAATTCTGAACAAAATCATTTTATTAATGTGATCATATGTTTATTTTCTTTCTTATTTTTTATATCTTGAAAGGTATTGCAGATTTATGATAAAATCAGAAAAAAAGTCTGTTGTAATTTTTGATACAGATGTTATTATTTTCTCAAGCTTCCAAATCATGTGAATTCTATTTCTTTTTCAGATGATATTGAAAAACGCCAGAAAGATGCAGGTCTATATGTAATTGTACCAATAATTATTTCCTCTTCAATCTTATTGCTTGGAACATTATTAATATCACACCAAAGGTAATGTACTTGATGTGAAAAATCACTATGACAAAAGCCCTTGAACATATTTAAACCTTAATTTAAAGCCCAACTCAGAAACATTACAGTATCCTAATATGTTTATGTGTATTCAGTATACAATTAAGATAGTCTAAAAAGAAAAGGTCTGTTTTCAGGAAACCACATTCTGTTTTGCTAGTACTGCATAAACATCATGGAAGAAATTCATTTATAAAATGTAAATACATTCAGTAAATAACAGGCTTATAACAAGAAATCCTAGTCAGTATGTTCTCAGAGATGGTAAAAATGGCTTTTAGAGTTGTAGATTTTGGGTTGAGGACTTTTAGTGATGAAGATTCACCTGGAATGATCAGTTCATTTTTAAAAATCATCACTGCATGGCTCCCCAGTCTGTTCACTTTGACAAAGAGCCTTGAATTTCTTGTGGTTCTGTGGGTGCCCCATCACTGTGTGCTGAGAGGTCTGGACTGATGATGTTATTTCGCACATGCCGAATCTCTACAGAAACTTTTGTCTTACAGCAGAAAAGAGAGAGGTGATTTTAGAATCCGAATATATCTTTCAATCAAGTGAGCTGATGGGGCCATATTAAGTGGAATTGTTTCTGAAATTCAGTTGATGGCTACTTTTAATATATTATTTTCTCCAAAAAAAATCCATGCCAAGTGTTCAGCACAGTCCCTGGCCTAGAACTTTCAAAAAACATTGGTTATTTTTATCATTATAATGATTATTAGACTTGATCTAGACAGAACTCTGTGGAAATCTTCCTGGGATAGCCTCTGAAATGAATCAAGCCCTACTGAGACATAGCTGATTAATTTTTAGTTTGTGCATTCATTAACTGTGAACACTTTCAATATGAATGTTTTGTTATTTATCCTTTGTAGAATGAAAAAGATGTTTTGGGAAGATGTTCCAAACCCCAAGAACTGTTCCTGGGCGCAAGGACTTAATTTTCAGAAGGTCCTTTTTTCAATTTTTTTAATACCAAATATATAAGATTACTTTTAAATGCTGTATGCCTTATATAGCATCAAACATTATTAAGGTTTAAAATATTTTAAGGATAAGGCTTAAATCTTATTGTATTCCTTTAAATATGAGTTCTCTTTAATCTATTACATATTTTCACGAATAGCAAGATGCAGAGATTTGAAACCAGGATGAAACAAAATTCAGTAGATAGTTTATGAGCATTAAATATATATATACATTTTCTGTATCACAGTATATAATAAAATAAATATTAGAATATTAAGACTTGAATCTGATGAAGAACAGATATTTGGATATACTTTTATGGTATAAATTAATTGTCTTTAGGTAAAGGTTGAAATCAATATTTTTAATCCCTGTAATTATCTCCATAATTATTTAAATCAACTTAAAACCGTATAAATAATTTTGTTCTCAAACACCATACCTGAAAAATATAGTTATCATAGTGAAGCTAACATTTAAGTACATATTTTCTTCAAGCTAAAATACTTTATGAATTAGTCAACTATAATACAATAATTTGTCCTTAACATGTATAATAGAATTTATCAGAAACCTCCAGTGTTTAACTAATACTTTATTAATTCTTAGAGTTTTCCTTGAAGCCAGGTTGGTTTTCCACCCATAAAATTGAGAAAATAGAATTTAGTTTTCGGGTCCAAATATCAGCACGATGTTTTAAACAGCAAACATATGGAGGTTATTAAGCATTCTCAATGACTCTATCTTTATTACTAGTCACCATTGAAAAGTCTTCCCTGGTTTCCTTTTAGCTAGAAGATAAAGTACAGTCCCTTTGAGCTAGTACTCAGTGACTTCTCTCTATAATCTTTTATCAACTTACATATCCTATTTCTTCTGTCCCTGGGCCTTGATCATGCCTTTCCTGTGCCCTTTACCTCTACAGACCCTACCACATCAGTGAAGACCTTGCTCTTCTAGGTCCTTTTCCCCAAACCTTCCTTTAACAAAAGTAGTTCAGAAGAATTTTCCCCCTCTAAGTTCCCAGAGCATTTTATTGTGAAGAATGCTCTGAATTCCTGGGGGGTATTTTACCTCTCACAAATATTTCCTGAACTGCTGCTGCATGCAAAGTATGAAAGAAAGTAGGGATTCAGTAAAGCATTGCTGGAAGCATAATAGTGTCTGCTTATATATGTGCAAATCACTGAGATACATAGTTGTATATGCATTAAGATTTTTGCTTCAATCTGCAGTATCTCAGTTTCCTTTCCTGTAAAATGAAGTTTAATAGAACTTATAAGATTGTTTTGGAGATTGAAGATGATGGTACTTGTAACATAGTAAAGTTTCAGTAACCTTTAGTTATCATTATTTTACATATTTAGGTGTTTTAAATTATTATTCTTTCAGTTACACTGTGGTAAGTATCATTATCTCCATTTTATAGAAGAAAAAACCCGAAGCTTATAGTGATTAGGTGACTTGTTTTAGATCCAGGCTTGGCTTGCCCATCTGTCTCACTATGGAGCCTATTCTGTTAGTCATTGTTCTCTAGCAGTGGCTCAATTTTTTTTTTTATTTGAACATGACCCACAGTAAGAAAAACATCTTACCTTGCAGCCTAGTACATGCATAGATGAAGACATGCAAAACTGAAAAAAGATATTCAAAATGATTTTATTATATACAGTGCTATTTTTAAAATTCTATTTTGTTTTAAAAATACTGGTTGCAGCCCAGTACATTGATTTCACGTACTAATGACCTATTATGACTTGAGGTTAGAAAAACACTGCTTTCCAGCTTATCAGTGAACAAATGAACAAATATGTAATATTGTAGATCTAACAGTGCAAACAATTAAATTGTAATCATTAAGCAGAAATGACACTGTCTTATCTTCAGACCAGGCAGCACTAATTTTAAAGACGATCATTCTCTTTATAGAAAGTTCACTTTGTTTTGAGTCCAACCAGCCCCCTACCTCTCTCAGTTATGCCCTTATTTGCTATAAACCATGGGGTCCCCTTTCATTAAACAGAAGTCATGATTTTTTTAAATTCTTAAAATATTTATTCCTCTCCCCTCTCTTCTATTGTGAATTCATGCAGTAACACTTTTTGTAGCTATAGTGATATTTCAGCCCTATATATTTATTTGTTGTTCATTCATTAATTCATTCATTCACTCAATAAACACATAGTGAGTATTTATATGTAAGTCTAGGATGTTGCTTGAATCTTGGGAAACAAATGTTTAAGAGATTTTCCTTAGTATCTGGGAAATAAGACAGGTCATAGAGGAGTGGCTGGATGGAAAGCATAATAGAAAGGTCTTGTCTTCTTTACCCATCTTCAAAATAGTTTATTCATTTTAATCTTCATTCATTAATTTGTTTCACTCATTCATTCTCAGGCTATTTATTGAATGTCTATTCTGTGCTAGTCACTATGCAATATCTTCATGTTGTAATGATTAGAAAACAGAAACTCCTGGAGCAGATGGTCTAGTGGGAAAGATAAGCATTAATCAATGATAATGAAAATAACAATATATATGTATTCTATATAATAATAATTATAGACAACGTGTGAAAGAAAAGGATCCAGTGTGCTGAGCTTAGTGTATGGGATGGATGGGGATGAGAGGGTGAAGATAGGAAAGCGACAGCTGAGCTAAGCTCTGGAAGATGCGTTGTCATTAAGTAGGTGTTGTGGTGGAAGCGTAGAACCCAGGCAAAGCCACCTGCAAATATAAATCCCTGAGGTAGGAAGGATTGTAGCACATTCACAAACTGAAAATAGGAAGGTTAAAAGACAGTGTAATTTTTAATTACAATGTAATATTTAATTTTCTTAAGTTTGTGGGGTTCTTTCTTTTAATATGAGCATTTTTTTTTTTTTTGGTCAGAAAAACTACCTATATAAGCAAAAATTTTAAAGCTTCACCATACAAGTATATATGAATGCAGGGAATACCCATCTCACTGTCTCTTTAAGGGAAGCTAAAATATTCTGTCTTCAACATGTGAAGCTCTGAAATCTTCTTTATGTACCACCATGAAAATGCTTTCTACGTGTCTACCAGGGCAGGGAAATGATCAGGCCCACCTCAGCAAATGCAGTTTGAGCCTGCACCAAGTGATCTTTCCCCTTTCCAGAAAATGCCAGGAACAGAGGAACCACTTGATGGATGGAGTTTTGGTCAGTAAATATTTGTAGACTATGTGCTCCTTCTGTCTCACATAGATGTGATGAAAATGGTTACAAAGCTGTAGCAGATCATCTGACAAACATGTAATACAAAGAGACTGAAATATCACTAAAATTTTCTGTGTTCTGGTAAACTAAAGAAGTATGTAGAATTTTTATACTTAAAGTGGGTATGAATATCCTTATTTGTAAGGCTGATTTTTTTCTCCTCTGCAAATATTTGCCTTTATGTACTCTTATATTATTTGAGCACAACTAGTCCTTAAGATGCTTAATTTATTTCTAGGGCTGAATAGGTACACAGATAACATAGTCAGGAATAAATGAGTTTTTGGACTATAGTGGGGATATTTGAAGACTGAGGAAGAATATAATTTCAAGGATTTTACTAAAATTCAGTAACTTAAAAAAATCTTATCTTCTACTTTATCTCCTAAATAACTAAAAATAATAGTTTATAGTCTAATAAAGAGAAATAATATAGTATAATTCATACTGTATTTCCAAAGAGGGTAAACCAAATTTACTATTGGCTGTTTGCTTTCATATTTTATTTTATTTTATTCTTTCACGGCTTAATAGTCTTAAATTTTATGATGACCACTGAGTGTCAGAATGGTTTGGTGGCTTGCCTTGATCATCTCTCCTGTACTTGTAAAGACCTTGGTTAAACCCTGGTCCTTTGGACTCAAACTGCTATCCTTGCCCTCAGTTCCATATTAACAATGTATTACTAAATTTAACTAGCACCATTAATTGTACATTTAAAAATAGTTGAAGTGGTAAATTTTGTTCTAAATATTTTAACAAAATTCTAAAGGTAGGTAAAAGATCTGAATATACATTTTTGCAAAAAAGATATATAAATGGCAAGTAAGCACTAATGAATATATGCTCGACATTGTTAGCTATTGGGGAAATACAAGCCCAAAATGCAAGATACCACTTTACACTGGCTAGAATGGCTATAATAAAAAAGACAGATAATAAATATTGGTGAGAATGTGGAGAAATTAGAACTCATACACTGCCAGTGGGAATGTAAACTGATGCAGCCCTTTCTGTGCTAATAGCATGGAGCCTGCTTGGGATTTTCTCTCTATCTCTGTCTTTCTCTCTCTCTGCCCCTCCCCCTACTCATGCTCTCTCTCGCTCTCTCGCTCTCAAAGTAAATAAATAAACTTCAAAAAATGGTGCAGCCCTTTTGAAAAATGGTCTTAACAGTTCTTCAACAGTTAAACATAGAATTACCAAAAGACCCAATAATTTAACTGCTAGATATATATCCAGTAGAAATGCAATCATGTATTTACACAGAGAATTATATATGAATGTTCACAGCATCATTGTTTATAATGTCCAAAATGTGGAAACAAGCCAAATATCCATCAAATGCTGAATGGATAAGCAAAAGGTGATATGTCCCATTCTAAAACAAAAGGAAACAACAAACAAAAAACCCCCACAATGTATTGCAAAGCAAACATACTGTGCTAGTCCATTGTTAAAAACAAAGACAGTATTTTTTAAGGAGATAATAATTTTTTACATGAAGTATTTCCTGAATTTGTTCTTCACATTCAGATTATTTTGAACATTGGTTTTTATGAAAGTAATCTATATTTATAATTCTTTAGACATCCAACCTGGTTTCTAAAATGTTCCCTAAAATTATTCTCTTCCGGTTTTTAAGCTATCATTCTCATTCTCTTTGGTTTATAATTAATCAAAATCCATATTTGCCTCAAATTTTTTATTCATAAAAATTACAGATAAAGTTTGTCCTGCTTATTCCTCTCATTTGTTTGGGTCCCTCCTACCCATTTTAGGCATACCAACTTTCAAGAATATAGTATGTATTTGTCTAGTTTGTGCTTTTGTACTTTCCTACATCTGTATCTGTATGTCCATGACCAAAAACAATAATACTTTTGGCATTAATTAATTACTGTTATTGTGCCTTCCATATCATTCAAAAGTTATTTTTGTTCTCAGTATTGTTTTTGGAGGTCTTTCCATGTTTATGCCATTAATGTAGTTCACCCATGTGGACTGGCCCATTGTATTCCATCCTATAAATATATCATAATTCATATGTCCATTCCCTCTATGGATATTTAAGTTGTTTAAAAGCTTTTTTCTTTTTATTACAAACAGTGCTGCACGAAACATAGTTGTATAAATCTCTTTGTTCTCTGGGGATATAAAAGTCCCATTATTAAAGAAAAATAAGGTTTGCATTAGCTTTTGGCCAATGTGCATGGTTTAATAGTGGAAGAGTATGGAAGAGGATTTATTGCAAAGTACAGTCTCCTCTTCCACCCTACCTACCCTTAGACTTGCTCTTCAAATGCTATTACTTTAAACTGGCTTGCTTTTAATTTTTCTGGCAGGTCACCTTTATATTTCTAAAAATAATATGCTTACACCATGAGGGAACAATAGACATTATCAATTGATTTCTGGCTATAATGAATATTTACTCATATCCATATTTTTCTTTCCCTTCTTTCCCCACTCTCCTACCACATACTGTGTCACTTTTTTTCAATTTTTTCAGTAATTACTCTGCAACCTCAGAAGAATCTTCTTAAATTCCATTTATTTCCATCAGTAGAGACCACATCTTGGAGCTTCCCTCCTAGGGAGCTTTATATTTAAATAAAGACATTAGCACTCTTACCTTTCCCCCCATTTCTCTCTCCACTTCCCAGCTGATGTAAATAGAACTCTATGCTTTAAGTCAGGATTGATACATGTTTTGTCCTATTATCATTTTAAAAAACAGAAAGTCAATAAACTGCACTTACATTGCTATGGGTATGTAAACACTATTCCTTGCAGAACATGTAATATATGTGATACATTTTTTGGTAGTTCCAGTGTCACAGGAGAATATATTTTTAAAAAGATATTAGAAATATTTCACCTGTTGGTCAAAATTCTGCCAAATTTTAATTGGCTTCATTTTTAGTTTTTATGAGGTTGTTGTTGCTTTTTCTAGTGTTTCTAATTGTCTTTTTAAGAAAACTTTTAGTGTTTATTTTTGAGAAAGAGACAGAGCATGAGCAGGAGAGGGACAGAGAGGGACACACAGAATCTGAAGCAGCCTCCAGGCTCTGAGCTGTCACAGATCCCGGCATGGGGCTTGAACTCCTGAACCATGAGATCATGACCTGAGCTGAAGTCTGATGCTTAACTGATAGAGCCACCCAGGTGCCCCACTAATTGCTTCTTTAAAAGTGTTTTTGAATTTCTCTGTTCTGCTATTGTACAAGCTTCTTCACTGGACACCTTTTCCCAGTGTACTCTGCCCAGGAAACCCTATATCCTCCTACTTCAGTCTGGATAAGGTGTTTTCTAAAATATTTACAAGCCATCACCCAGAATTTTTCCTTAACTGGTTTCTAGTGACTGCTGCTTCCTAAATTCCTTTCCTTCCTCTTTCTTGATTAACTACATCCTTAAGTAACCCCCTTAGAAATGTTATGTGCTACGTCAGAGTCTTTACATGCCTGAAATTCTTTTCATTGTGCCTTCATTGATCAATAGTTTGGTGGAGTATCAATTTCTAGATTAAACAAATCTTTTCAATTCAACTTGGAAGCAATTCCTGTCTCATCATCTAGCACCCAGTATTGCTTCTGAGAAGTCAGATGCCATTCTGATTTTTACTCCTCACTGATTACTTGCAGTTTTCTTGCATTAAACAGTCTCCCCATTTGTGTGTTCTAAAATTTCAGTGACAGGTCTTGGGAAGTTCTTTTTCATTTAACTTGGTCACATTTGAAGACACTTTCAATTCCATGTCTTCTGTCATATCTAAGAAATTATATTATTTCTTTCCTGATTTCCTCTTTTCCTATTTCTTTTGTTTTCTCTTTCTAGAATATGTAGTTGTTAGATGTTGAACCCTCGGCATAGATCTTCTGTATTTTTTATCTCTTTAGTATGTTCTTTTTTGTCTTTTATTTTACATTTGAGACCTTGTTGTATGCTACTCTTTTAGTGTATCTGTTGAACTTTTATTTACTATTACATTCGTAAATTTGCAAGCTTTCTTTCCAAAGTATTATGTTTGGTTTTATGCATATGTTATTTTCTTAAGTCATACTAGAAGTACCAATTTAAGGATCATTGTTTGTTTGAAAAATTCTTTTTTCTTCCTTATCTCTGAATTCCCTTTCTGCCAGGATCGTATTTTCTTCTTGTTTATATTGGCTTTTCTTTTTTTAATGTCAGACTTTCCCCAAATATCTAGTAATTCTTTGGTTTCCTTTAATGTTTTAGAATGAAACAGTAGATAAGCCCATTGATAGGCCCGGATTGTTGCCTTGGGATAGGGCTCTGGCTAGCTGAGGAAAAATATACTCACAGACACTAACCCACAGCTGCTGGTAACTCCCTGGCTATCTCCTTAGTTGCTTGGAAAACAAAACCTCAATTTGGGTGTGGAAGGTAGTTGTAATATAAACACTCTTCTGTGTACAGTGGAGACCTGGAAGAGCCCCATTCCCTCATATCTTCCTGTGTTTTTACCTGCCATTTCTTCACTCACCGTTTCAACTGGACTCAACTGGACAAACTGGTTTTCTCTTCAGCCACAGTCTGTTCTGGAGATACTTTGGTTTGTAGCTTTCTTTGCTCATCCTCATTGGTCTACACTCTTCTGGTTGTTTTCCATCTTTTAGAAGTGAATTCAACATCTTATTCCCTCTTGCCTTCTCAGGTGATCTTCTGTGTTGTGGTATATATTTGTTGTTTGTGCTCTTTCATTCTAACAGAGTTCTACAAAGATGGGAGATAAATGTGTTCAACCTGCTATCTTGAACCAGAATACCATGCTACACCATTTCTCTTGATACTTTAAAAGTCAGAATCTTAAAAAGAAATTAAAAATAAAATATAAATATAGAAATCAAAATCTTAAAAGTTGAAAAGCAGTAGACTTGCTTTTCTTCTAATGCAAATTTCAGAGTGTTTAAAAGACTGTAACCAATTTGGTTTTTTATCTTTCTCTTTAGCATTCTTGCCTAATCTATAATTTTCTTCCTCTAAGTCTAAATCATCTGTAATTTTTTTGGGTGGTTGGGGATCTAACCCCATTTCTTGGTTGTCCTTCACAACAGTGTACTCCAGTTAACAACTTACTTTAGGAATAGGAAAGCTAAAACCAAATGGATTTTTCCTTGTGATTCAAAGACCATCCAAGATTCCTCAGTCTACTCTAGGCTTCCAAAGAAGAAGCTCAAAGATATTCAGGTTCTCAGAATACCAGCCTCACAGATCTGAGGCAGAGCAGGTCTGAAATTGGCCTTGCAGAAGTGGGTAGAGCTGGTGCAGTTTTGCGTTGGAAGTTCTGTTTAGGAGCATATTAGTACACTTAGAAGTGTCTATCTCACTCCCCTAAAATATGATTTCAGTTTGGTTTACTTTTGTGTTCTTAATATTTGTTACATGCCCATGGATTGTAAGGAGCCAGAAGAGAGAATGAATTAATCAGGTGAAATCTAACACAGCAAGTAGAAAAAGCAAAACAAATAACATGTTTTCCTGCCTGTTTAGATTTAGGATATCTTTTCATCTTTCCATTGTTTTGTAGAAAGATTGTTGGACTGAAAGAAAATAAAGAACTAAGTCAGGGTCCTCACTCTGCCTTAATTAGCTCTGTAACTTGTCCAGTACTTTGTTTTAAAAATAAGACACATGGACCAGATGGTTTCTTAGATTTTTCCCCCCTAGATTAGAGAAATCATGATAACATTCTTTTATTCTATTCTTCAATATTTCAGCTCTTCTTTCTCTTAATTTTTAAATTTTTTTTTACTGCTCTTTTACTCTTTCTTGTTGTTTCAAGCTCTCTAATACTTCTGCTGCTGCACCTCACTCTCCCCTGCCTATTTATCTTTCTAGCTCTTTGTTCTTTTCTCTTTATTCTGTTATTATTGTATAGTTTTTCCTTTTCTGGGGTGACCAAGACGGTTCTTAAAGTGTGATGTTAAGGCATGCTTTACAAAAATAGAAGAGGCTACCTTAGTTCAAAATATTGCTCTTTCCTAAAAAGGTACATTACTGTAGTGTCACAGAAGAATTGATAGTCCAGAAGCTATGCCTGACATAAAATGTTTTTGAAATCTTTTATCTTTTGCTCTCTGAGTGATTTTTTGTTTTGCTTTCTTATTTTATTTTATCTAAACAGAGAACGGATATTCTTTGAAGCTTAATCATGATCACTACCGATGAACCCAGTTCTTCCCAACATTCTCTAGAGTATTAGAAGATTTTCACATTTTGAAGAAGGGGAGACAAATCTAAAAAAAATATTTGGTTGAACTATTGAGAATTAAAATATGGTGGATGATGCTGATTTAGAACTTAAAATAGAAGGGTAAATTTGGGGTCAAGATGTAGGTCTAAGTCCATTGCAGTTTGAATATATGATTATTTTTCAGGTCACCTCAAGTTTAACAAGTAATTAATATTCATTGTGTCTGGCTTTTGATTTGTCATTTGTGTGGTGGTCATAAAACATTAAAAATTGTGACTGTTGGTTGTTCTTCCCATGTATCTATTAGATATTATCAGATATGTAGTAGACAATGTTGTAACTAGATGAAAGCTACAACTTCTGACACACCAAACACAATGAATCTAATTATAAAATACAGTAAAACTAGTTAATATTTTCATGTCCAAAATTTTCCATTTTATATTTTTTTATAGATAGCTGAGCTTATAAACTGACCCACTTAGGTGTTGTTTTGAATGTCTTGTAGCTTTTATGCCTATCTAACTTTGATCAGTCTGGGAATTTCCATCTTTGGTATCCTTGCAAATGGCTTATGTGCTAACTTCTTTCAGTACAAAGAAAGCCAGAAGTTAGAGTTTGTGTTGGTCACAGGCCAATGGAAGTTACAGTTCATATCAGGATGACCTGACATATCGAGGTCAGACTGACCAGATCAGAAAACACATCAGTCTCCAATTCAGCCTCTTTGTGAAATTCCTTCTTAAATTTATTTACACTGAACCACCCAGAGCTTCTGGCAGGCAGAGAAGTACACAGTGATGCAAAAAGGGAGCTTTTACAAAAAGTTCATGGCAAGGATAGGACATTTCTCCCTGAAAAAAAAAGACCCTTGCTATCTCTATGATGCTAGCATACTAAGTGTGTTATGTTGCTCACATTCAAAATAAACCAAAGCCTGTGTTTGATTAACATAAATAATATTCAAATTTAGGCTAAAATTAGATCACTTACACTTAGATTTTACTCATAGCTACCAAAAAAGACACTAAAAATGAGGAAGAATGTGTCCTTTTCCCCTTCATTGACTTTGAGTAGGTTATCATTGGAATGTAAAATCTAAGTGTAAAATTATGAAAGGATATTCTTTAATTCCTGCCAGACTAAATACATATTTAATATGTTCCCAGACTCTTCTAAAATCTTTAAAAATTAGGTTCATATAATGATTAAAATGATTTTTTAATACACATACTTTTAATAAAGGTTTGTGACCCATTGATGAAATATACTTTCATAATATATGGGTATGTGATTTCTTATTATCTTCCATCTGAATGCATTTGAAGACATATAAATTATCTGGTATCAATAATTAGTTACCAGTTATAAGGTTTTAGAGGACATGAAGTATGCCAGAGACATCATCTGAAGAACATAATGTGCATCTGCATGCTGTTGCCTATTTGTGTGTATTTTTTGTTTTCATGTTGATAGCATGTAATTCCTTTATTTGGTGATCTTAATTTCTAGGGTTCATTTAAATTTTAAGAAATTCAAAACACTCAGAGTAGTAAGTTTAAGAAAAAACAAAATGAGCAAGTAGATATTTGAAGCAAATCATAAATCGAATGATAAATTTCTGTCAGAAAAAAGGCGTAGGAGCAGTTTTCATCTATTATGTTCATAAGTAACAGAGAAGGTTGTGGTAACATGATTATCATTATGCAGCATTGAGTATCTATATAAATATATTCCATTTTTTATTATACTTAGCATTTGGTATATTTATTCTTTATGGTTTATAATCACCAATATATTCATTTAAGAGTTTAGAACTATGCTAATGAATTGTTTTTATATGGAACATATTTGCTATTATGAAGAATAGTTGGGTATACTGTTATTTCAGGCAATAAATTTAAATTCATTCTAGTATTTTAAAAATTGTAAAATTCAAAAGGTCAATCACATGTATGATTTACAAATTGAACACATTTTCAGTAGCACTTCATTTAGTTGCATTAATTTTTCAATGTGATGTGTCCACAGTGTTCTTTATTTTGAATTTATTTTTTCAAAATGTTTACATTGTATGAGTTGAGCTTTTTACATGCAGATTCTTGATTTGTAGCTGCTTGGCAGGGTTTTTTGTTGTGATGTAACCAGCATTCTTATAAAAGATATGATGGCATTTGTTTCGCGTCTTTGTCTTCATTCCACATGTTCCACAGTATGTTTTTTTTATATGAAGTTATATATAAGGAATGGCGATTTAAGAGTCTGTGATCATCTCTTTTACCACCATCGTTTTCAACAAATTGGTGTTCTTGTTTTCTGGTGGCTTTAAATAGATTTTCAGTATGGTGTAAGGCAGATAAGCCTCAATAGTTACAGATAGTTTATCTTTATATCACATCTTATGTCATGGCAAAGATATTTTAACTATCTTTGGTCTAGTAGGTTTGTTCATTTCATTTTATTTCAATTACTTTTTCATTTGAGTTTAAATTTTTCAGTTTGTGGAGACCTAATTTGCTATAAAATATTAGGAATTCTTCAGAAGATATGCAACAACCAATCTTTATTGAGACATGAGCACTTTCAGACCCTCTCTAATTTAGTTCTCACCACAATGCCTGGAAGTAAATATTGATTGAACACATTTTTTTACATATGAAGAAACCAAAAGGCAAAGAGGTTAATGTACTTGTCCATGGTCATAGAAGTAGGACTCAAACCAAAGTCTATCTCATCCCACTTTAAACACTAATTTATATGCCTCTCCTGTTTGATTTTTGACATATCCATTTCAGAAAGTCCCAAACAATGTGTGCTTGACTTATGTCCTTTGGTAGTAAGCCTTTTACACTTTCATTGCTGCATGATGTCATAGTGAAGCAAATAATAATAATAATAATATAATAATAATAATACAATTGAGCATTAAAATGTGTCTTTTCTTTTAGCCAGAAACATTTGAGCATCTTTTTATCAAGCACACAGAATCAGTGACATTTGGTCCTCTTCTTTTGGAGCCTGAAACCATTTCAGAAGATATCAGTGTTGACACATCATGGAAAAATAAAGATGAGATGGTGCCAACAACTATGGTCTCTCTACTTTTGACAACTCCGGATCTTGAAAAGGGTTCTCTTTGTATCAGTGACCAGCACCACAGTGCTAACTTCTCTGAGCTTGAGAGCAGCATGGTAACCTCTGAGGATGAAAACAGGAGACAGCCCTCTGTTAGATATGCCACTCTACTCAGCAGCTCTAAATCAAGTGACACTGATGAAGAGCAAGGGCTTATAAACAGTTCAGTCAGCAAATGCTTCTCTAGCAAAAATTCTCTGTCTAAGGATTCTTTTTCTAACAGCTCATGGGAGATAGAAACCCAGGCATTTTTTATATTATCAGATCAGCATCCCTCTATAATTTCACCACACCTTCCATTCTCAGAAGGATTGGATGAATTTTTGAAATTTGAGGGAAATTTCCCTGAAGAAAATAATGGTGAGAGGTCTGTCTATTATTTAGGGGTCACCTCAATCAAAAAAAGAGAAAGCGGTGTGTTTTTGACTGATGAGTCACAAGTGTTGTGTCCCTTCCCAGCCCATTGTTTATTCACTGACATTAGAATCCTCCAGGACACTTGCTCACAACTTGTAGAAAATCATTTCAATTTAGGAACTAATGATCAGAAGACTTTTGTATCTTACATGCCTCAATTTCAGATTTGTTCCACTCAGAAGATAATGGAAAACACAATGTGTGACCTAACTGTCTAATTTCATTCAAGAAACATCTCAGATTTATGTTACGATGAATCATATGAAGTGTAATACAGTCCACCATGTTTGTGGATATGGGAGAGTAAGGAAAATGTCAGAGTCAAATCTGAAAGTGATTGTTTCCAAATTAAAGGTATCTGTCCTCACTAGGATAGACAGAAAATGGTAGAAAGTCTTCAAGAGTCTGGCAATGTAGACTGACTCTTCTAATGATTTCATTAGCAAGCTACACTAGGAAGGTCTCCAGTGGCTTGTTTCTAGCTAGAAAGAAGCCCAACAAATATAATCTTTTGCTAACATTAGACCTGTGTAGAAAGAGCTAATCTTCTCAATTATACCTAAGTTTGAAAGACACTTGTGAGATGTAACTTGTGTCAAAGGTGTGGTTGTTTTATCTTGAGTTGTTTTTGTTTTCAACTTATTAATACACACGTACATGTATACATAAGAGGCATCCTCATACATTTTTAAAGTATGTGATGTATTTGTATTTTGTGCTACTTGACTGTGTGATTTTAAGATTTTGCCATTTAACAAACTTGCCTTGAGCACTTACTCTGTGGTAGGCACTCCACTAAATGTTGCAGATTTAGCTCTGGCTGGGGGATGTACTTCTGAAGACTGACAAGTAAGCCAATCTTTATTATCAGATCAAAGACATGTACCATGCAATGAAACTACTTATCAGAATGACAATACCAGAATACAAATAGTATTTTGGTGACAGCAAAAGCATTTTGAAAACATAATGTCTGTCTGACCTCTTCTCTATAAAAGATGTTGCAGTGGTTGCTTTCTGATACAGTTAGATGACTAAATGCTACTATATCACCCTGGAATCATTGTCTTCCCTGATTCCCACTTGCTTGTACACTATTTTTTTTCCTCACTTACTGAGCATTCTCTTTCATATAACCACCCACTGTTAAAGCTCTCCATATTTTATATTAATTATTAAAATAATTGTATGAGACAGGTACTACTCTAACACCCCTGTTAAAGATTAGAAAATAAAGTAATTTTTCCAAGATCATAGAATTAGTGGATGATGGAACCAGAATCCAGATTTAAACCCAGATCTTTTAATGTTAGTGATTATGTTTTAAACATATACCTTACATTGCCATCCATTAAAAAAATGACTCATAAGCAAATAAAATTTGTTAAGTGGAAATATAATGTGGATGAAAATGAAGTGAGAATTACACATATGTTGTTTTTGCCTTTAAAGATGTTAATATTTTATTGTTTCAGTTTTTGTTATGGCAAGAAAACTCTGAGAAAGCATATTGAACAACAAACTAAATCAAGAAAACTGCAGAGATAGATGTTGAGTGGCAATAAATAAGAATTTCAGGATGATCTGTATAATCAAAATAAATACTTTAGTCCTCAGAAGTATGCCTGTTAGATTGCTAAACATCACCAGTTTCATAGTTGGCCTGAGAGAGAATCCTGCTGATTTTATTGTTCCCCTAACTAAAATCCCACATTCTATCTCTATTCTAGTTGGGACTATATGAAATGAGCAGTTCTTGGCAGTGACAGAGATCTCAGACCCCAATCAACAGGTATTTTTTCACACTTCATCATCATTTGCCAATTAGAAATCATTAAAGCTGTTTCATGTCATAAAGATTGTCGAGATAGCTCAGGTTCTTACATACTCATCAACAGATGACTCTCACAAGAGAAAGATAGAGGGCTCACATCAACCACTGGATAATGAGTGTGTTATAAAGGCCTTAGTTCTATACAAAGATAAATCAAGAGAATACTTTCTTTTTTCCCACTGATGTTTTAAGTGGTTTACAGATTAAGAAACAGAAAGACATTATTGCATGTATGGAAGTTCTGGCAAAATTGACCATTATTTTTAATGCTGCTCATAGAATATTGAAGTTTAATTGAGGGTACAGTATAGAAGAGATAGAAGAATTACATTTTGCTCCACTGTGCATAGAGTGCATAGAGTTAGAGATTAAACACTGAGCATGTCCACTGAGATACAGCATTCCCCGGTGGTCTGGGACCCTACGGGGAAGAGAAAGTGACAGATGTTCCAAACAGCCTAAGATTTCACCATTCTCTGTGAATGCAGTAGTGAATTCAGAATCCCCACAACTGGTGTAGTGCTGCAGGTCTGAGTTAAAGGAATTTAGTAACTATATATTAACAAGATCATTGATATCCCAGTGGAGCTTCAGTTCCAAAAACAAATGAAAACACCACAAGTACTGAAATGCCAAGGAGTTTCTTTCATGGAAAGGGCTAGAGTTTATATTGGTATTTATAGATTTAGATCCTATCTGTTGTCAGTGTGTTAGGGCTCTGATGTTCACTTTTGAAAGTTTGTTTCACTGCATATGTCACTATATATTATTGGGTCTTTATGAGAATTATCTGTCATTAAATAGTGGGTTTTCATAAAAATTTAGGTAAATTTAGAACATTTTATACTTCAGGATGGTCCAATATTCTCCATTTCTTTCCAAAGATTCGTTGAAAAAATTTTTAAGGAAGAGAAGTCCTGAAATATGGGTTTGCACTTTTAAACTTAGGATAAATCTGGAATTTGGAGTATTTCATTTAAGGCCTTGAATTGCAACACAAGTTACTAGTCAGTTTCTCTAAATCTGAACTTAATGAAAAGAAACTCAGAAGTTAACAATTTGAGATATGGCCTCAAGTTTCAACATAAGACAAATCACTTGTCAGGGCCAATGAGATTATATGTTTCCTATGTTAAACTCTCCAAAACAAAGAAGAAAACAAATCAAGGTGTGGTTGTTGGGAACAGCAGGGCCTCCCGATGGAGCCCTATGTTCCCATTTGGAGATGGGCTAGAGGACTATGGACAACACATGGACAAGAGGAATAGGAACAGATATTCTTTTATTTTGAAGCCTCATCTCAAGTAGTAAGAGGACTTGGATGAAATTTGCAAGCCAGTGGGTGATCTTGGACCTAGAATAAGGTTTTATGACATCGAGCATGAGCTACGTCTATCTTCTCTCTGCCCTTTCCAGTAACACCAACTCCTTCTTTCCAAATATCAAACATATGGTCACGTTCCCTTAGGAATATTTGCCTTGACTACTCAAATGCTGAGAGAAGAGAAACTTCCTTCACAAACTGATGCCAGATTCCAAAGCTACTTTGGTTGGCACGGGATACAGCCTAGGCCATTAGTGCTGTGCCCACGGGGCCCATGTGGAGTTGGACAACGTGCTAAGTGGATCAGGATGTGCTGCAACCATATGTCACCTAGACATGGATGGAAAAAGACCTCTTTTCAAATTCCTTCCTCTAGTTTTAAAAAGAAATATGCTCCGCTGTTCATCTTTTGAGGGTCATCTTGATAGTTAAGGACTTTTCTAAAGTACTTATTATTGAGAAA